CCCCCCCCCAGAACTGAGTTTTCTTTCTCACTTTCTGTGTGCCGAGGGTGGTGAGAGAGTGGCTTTGTTTCGCAGGAAAGGGAGATGAGACACTGGGAAGCTGTCACCCATCCCTTATTTAATGGGAACATCCAATTAAATTTTTTTAAAAATCTTTTTCCGATTATCCTTAAAATGTGTAAGAAAGAATCGGCTAACCAGGGGACTATTGGGAATATTCATGGGGGGCTTACTTGCGGAATGCACAATCATAACTATTAACCTAAATGCTTTTAAAACTTTTTATGTGTACCAAAGAATGCCAAAGTTCACAGCTATCTTTTTCCAATTGTCACGCATAAATTCTTGAAGCCATACTTCTGAATTCAACAAATGTGTTGGATTTTTCTCTAAGGGAGAGGAAGCTCTGATCTGATGTTGTCTACTCTTTTTCTTTTCCATTTTCAGTGCCTACCAGTCTTACTGCCCTAACACTTTCTGGGGGGGGGGGGGGGGGGGGTTCGAATTATTCGTGGGTGATATCCTCTCCTCCTCACCAGTCATGATTCAAAACATGGTGGGATGGGCAGACTGTCATCCATGCTATTGCTAAATGTTATGTCCCTTCTTCCTCCAGGCTATTACTTGACCCATGATTTCAATAGTGCCATAAAACAACCAACTCATCCCAGCATAAAAATAAACTGTGCCTCCTTTGTCACTGCTTTTATTTGTCATGTCAATATCCATAAGTATCATTGTGCCAATGACAAAGTCAATAGTGTAGTGGTTAAATGCTTTGCCATTGTACTCTGAAGATCCAAGTTTAATTCCTGCAGGGGGGGGGGGGGGAATTTTTATTGAGCGTCTGGGCATGTCAAAGCCTGCTTCCTAAATTAGCTAAATGGTGCCGCTGACAGTGTAAAAACCTGCTTTTTTTTTCTAGTTGTGCCTATGTGCTTCAGGTTTCTTCAGCTCTAAAATCCAGCTCAACCATAGGTAAAAGCAGGAAGTTGGTTTCCTTTCTTGTGTATTCTGTGCTTTCTGCTTCTTTTCAGCGTTAAGATTACTACTTGTCTTGTCATGGTGAAATAGGGTCTGGTCCCGATGACACCAAATGCTCGTAACCTGCTACTCCATAGCAAATCAATGCAGGTGGTTGAAGGGTGCCACTGGTAGGTCCTACTTCTTTACTTTCCTTCTATTGTTTCTCTCTGTCTGTCTCTCTTACTTTTTCCTAGCACAGCATCACCTCAGAACTATTTTTGTCCAAAGTGTACTTGAGTAGAGAGTGCACTTTGGACAAAATAGGTTTGAGGCAATGACAAAATGACCATTATTGCGTCAATATGCTTCTCTTTACTCAAATAAAACATAACAAAGCAAAGAAGCCTTATGTAATGCCTGTAGTTCCTCATAATACATTCTCCAGCATAATATCCTTCCTGCTCCTGGGCTTGGAGTCAATCATCTGTAATGAGATGCAATATGTCAATGTACAACTGTGCTCTTATTTTTGTTATTTTTGTCACCGTTGTGTGTGTGCTTGCTAACGAGAAAGTGGCAATACCAGTTTTCCTTTTCTTGGGCAGAAAGATTATACAATTACTTGTTTCAGATTTATACTTTTTCAGGTTTATACTTTTTCCTGTTGCCATGTACAAGTAGCTTTTTATGGTGTTTTGTTTTTGTTTACAAGTGTTAAAGATCTAGAATGTTCTTTTGTCTTACAACTGTTTTGTTATTAACATTTTTGAATAAAGTAGTGAGATGATTCTCATTCGTGTGTCTCGATTTATTGTGTGCATGTGTGAGAATAGATAGATAGATAGATAGATATGTCATTAGTTGGGTGTGTGTGTGTTTGTATGTCTGTGTCTGTATGTGAGTGTGTGTGTCTATGTGCTGTGTGCGTGTGCATGCGTGCTTTTGTGTATGTGTTTACTGACTTGCCCCAGGGTGTATTCTTGGAGATGGGAAATGGGAACAGATTTTAGTACATTAAATTGGGACTGAGCATGAGATATTCTTCATGAAAGAAGAAAAATTTTGCTTGTCTGTGGTTCTCAGTCCTCTGCTTATATTCTTCACTTAACACCAGTCCTGATATTGTTGTCATCACTTCACACTTTTTCTTGCCATCATTTGGATTTTGAAACAGTTTTCCATGATCAGTTGATTTTGGCAATTCTGAAAGTGGGGTTTTCCTGTTTATAATGACATGACACTGAAAAAAAAAAATGTTTCAAGTTACAACGAGCTTCAAAACTTCGACTGGTTGAGAGTAATTGAGGAGTTCATAACTTCAGAGTCTTGGATAGGTATTCATGGCAATGATTCATCACTTTGCTTTTATAGATATTTATCACTGCTTCTTCAGCGATCAACCTTTAATCTAAAATATCTCTGTGGTTGTAGTTTTCTTTTTTGTACGTGATTGGTGGCCACTCTGAACTACACTGCTGCTTCTGCTTCTAAGTGTACGAGCATCTGTGATGGAGTGGATAGGCACTTTGTTATTGCGTGCGAAAGACCTGAACTTGATTACCAAGTGGGGAGAACCTATTATCATATTATCAAGTATCTCTGTATTTCCCATTGGACATTGTATTCCTTTCCTCAGCTCAGGGGTTAGCTTTGACATGCAATGTAAAAGCCCACCTACTAAACTGTCCCTGTCATTTTATGCAAGAAAAATTCTGAAATTATGCAAAATGAGCCCAAAAATATGAAACTATGCGATTCTGTCAATTTTAACAAAGAATGATGAAGGGAAATAATCAGAAATTATGCAATAAAATGATCAAATTTTGCTAAATTATGCGGGGTGCATAAAACCACAGGGGCAGACTAAATTATATAAATTGTGGTGGAGTGGGCGTAAAAATGACACCTAACATTTTTTTACAAGAATTTTTATTCTTCTAAGTGATGTAGATATCCTGTCACTACTTTGGGCAAAATTTAGTGGTTGTTTTGTTTACTCACTATAAACTATGACTAAACAAAGACTCTGCCGCTAGTTGTTGGAGGGCACCACTGGTAGGTCTTACCTCCTTTACTTTCCCTCTGTTGTTTCTGTCTGTCTGTCTTACTCTTTCCAAGCACAAATGACCAACATCATGTCGATGTGCTTCTCTTTACTTAACTCAAACAAAGACCCTGCCAGCTACTTTGAATTTATGTAGTCCCTTGAAATGACTAAAAATTTCTCCCATTTATTATTTAATGCTTTGTCCTGTCATTTTTATCATCTACCTCTCCTTTTTAGTATATATTCTTGGCACTTTCCTTTGCTGAATGATTTTTCCAAGGCTGGTTAATATTATTTTCTGATCATTTATGTAGCACATATCCATGCTCTGCAGCATGCTCTATGCACTTTACAATTATTATTACCCCAGCTGACCCTAAAACACTCTTAAACATTCTCAGTTTTCCAGAAAGCATAGAGTGCAAACAACCAATTAAACGCTCAAACACTAACGAACCAACAAGATCTTTTGCCGTCTATGGTGGGATATACTTTCTCACCTGAGTGAAGTGAGGAAAATTTGTGTAATGTGCTTTGTCTAAGGACACAACGTCAGGCCCTTGAGGGGGTTAACCTTTCTGTGTCAAACTGGACAGCCTAGCCACTAAACCCCATCAACGCCGGTTAATTTAGTGAAGTTATCAAACCTCAGTTCACAGTGACAGTGGCAGTGTATGTTGACTCACTCTCTATCAATGGAACATTGGAGTATGCTCTTGGCTCAGTTACTGTGTTCAAGAAGATTTTATATTATTTGGGGCTCAGTTGGAGTCGTTAGATTTCATCCTGCATCTTCGACACTTATATGACCTTTTCATGTTGCTAGTGCCGTAAAACTTTTACTAAAACTAAAAAGTACCCAGTCAGATGATTTTACAGAAAACCATCCAATATTGTCTGCGGAAAATATTCTTTGTGTTATCTCCTAAAACAAAAGTAGTATTGAAATTCTTTTAATGTCTACAAAAAAATGCAGGCACAATCAGCACTGGCAGGGCCTGAGAGAAGTGAGGACTTAAAATTAAAATAGGCCGGTGGTGTAAGGGTTAAATACTTGTTTTGTTGGAGGGGCTTTGTCAGTTGCTCAGGTGGCATCAGAAGTCTAGTGGCTAGGTTATCGGACGTGTAATCATGAGATGGCGGGTCCAGTGGTTCGAGCCTCTGCTCGGTCCGATGTTGTGTCCGTGGCAGAGGCACTTTACATGAAATTCCTATTTGGCTCTGTCCTTTCAGAGATAAACTTTAAACTCTGAGGTCCCGTCTCTTAAATAACGTACTAGTGTTGATAGGGATGTTGCACCTATACCATTTCATCTGCGCATCCACTTGGCTCAGAGCTGTGGATGAAGGACATTAGTTCACAGAGGTCATTCCTATTTGAGAACTTTACACTGTGAACAAACAAAGGGACAAAAACCCCACACTATCTCAATGTCATGGTTAGTTTACACTTGTTGTTATATTTATACCTCAGCTCAACAGAAAAGGGGAAATTGTTGACCCATGTTCTAGGGTGGCCTGCTCCTTCCATTTCTTTCTAATATTGCTTCCTCAACACTTGGCCATCACAAGCATTTTGGGGGAAATCCAAAGAAACTGGGTGGTAAACATCGCCGATCAACGTTTTGTGGCGAGAGCAGAAGTACAGCGTTCTTGTCCATCGGCGAGATGTGACAGCAAAGTGTTAACGGCCTAATTGTGGGTGGTGTGCGAGTGCGCTGGTGTCATTTACTACTTCCTTCCAAATAAGCATCTATCGACTTTACCTCTCCTCTTTCTTTCTTTGTATGTTACTTTCTAGAAACACCTCTAATCTTTGCCACTTACATGACCTAATTGTGATGCAGGTGCTTTTAAACTCTAACTAAAACTAAAATAACTAAATGGCCTTAAAGTGCCTAAAGTTTTGTGAGACCTTGTTTCATAACTCATATAATTTACAAATTTATGTCTTTTTTTAAATGTTGCTTTTTTTTCCCTTTCCCAGCCGAGGACCCCCCGAAAGTGATGAGTTTTTTAAGAAGTTCAACTTCACTTACTCTGGAACGTACAAGTGGCCACACTCTAACTCCTCCAAGATGTGAGAGGTCTGACCTTGAGGACATTCTGACTGCATGCGGTCTCCACAGGTGGCTTCTCCAGCAGGATTTTTGTTATGTTTCTGTTTTCAAAAATGTTGACCACTCAGTCATCTATGGCTGGCAGGGGACTCAAACTCAAATCACCCTCAGGACTGCTAGAGGTGAGAGTCCGGATGAGCAGCTTGGGCCACATCAAGCATTTCACGAAATAAAAGTTTCAGGTATTTTCTTTTAAAACTTCTCCATCTTTGTTCATAGCAGTTTAGAACATGAACAATTCTTCCAACATAGGCAAGCTTCTCTTGATTACTCCTTGCTGTAAGAGACCTAGTGGTGTATGGAGTGTGGATTTTCACAGATTTTTTGCAAACTTAAATACTACCTCAGGAAAAAAATGTATTACAAATTTTCCTATTCTTTTAGGAAATATTCAAAAGACAAATTTGTAGATCTCTTTTCTGTTAATATGCATGCAAAATAACAACCTATTTCAATGAAAAATAAGTGTAGTATTCATCGCATAAGACATGTCATCAAAATCTAATATATGGCGGCTGTCTCCATGACATTGAAACATTTTTCTCAAATTTTTTTTGCGGATTTTAAGACTCCTCACTATGCTTGTTATATTTGTGAAATTTGGTAAAATTTGATCCACTAATAAGTGAGTTAGCCTTCAGGTGTAGCCCACCCGCCCCACCTCTCTTCTTAACACTAAACTTTAACGTCAAGTAGGGAACGTGAAATAACGTCTTGCGGGGGCTCAGTTGGCCCCATGGCTGTGAGTTTGAGACCCCTGATCTATGGTGACAGCTCATTTATGTATGTTGACTTTGTTGGCTGTTCATGTTTGTAACTGATCAAATTTGTTACTGAGGTTTTTTTTATGATACGAATTACACTGGTAATTATATTTTTGTTTTTCGAAATGTTTTTTTTTTTCCATTGTTTTGTATCAGAGAGGATTTTTGTCCCTCTTTATATCCCAGAGATTGATTTTTTTACACTGACTGATATGGGTGACATAATTACTGTTGCATTTTGGAATGGAAATTTTGAGGTTCTGTATGATTGAACAAATATATGCATGGCTTGCTGACCTTCAATGGGAATGGCGTCAATGGCCAGCCCTGTCATTTAAGGGGGCGAGATGCAAAACCCGCTAAGCTGGGAAAAAAAATCGAGATTTTTTGCTTATAAATGCACATTTTCTGCGCATTTTCTGTGGCTGTCAAATACTCAAAGTGTTTTCAGCCAAAACCCATGGCATACTTCCTAAAAACCACCAAAAACTTGTCTTTTTATGCGTGTTCGTGCGTATAGCAGCATTAAAAAAAGCTGATTTTTTTCAAAAGTGCTAAAATGGATGTAGCAGGTTTTGCATCTCAGCCCCTCATTTCTTCTCGCCCATGACAGTCTGAAGGGTTTGATGTACTGCCCCCTAGGTGGGCACCATTTACCACTTCATTGAAAGGTGCAACACTGCTGTACAGTTGCTAACATGTTTCCCATTTATCTGAACCCTGTCATCATCATCACCATCATCATCATCAGCCTTTCTCATCGACGAATAAGCCACCAACAAGAGCTCTTGATGTACTTCTGTCCTGAGCTATAGTCTCAACCTCTGTCTGGCTGAATCCCATCTGCTCTAGGTCAGAATCTAAGTCCCTCCCGAAAGTTCTTTTAGGCCTTCGTTTTTTTCTCTTTCCGAGCAGATTCCTTCTAACAGTTTGGTGGGAAATAATTGTTTCAGTTTACTCAACGGACTTTGTCAGATGAATGGTAATTGCTCAAAATTCAACGAATCCTGCTGAACATCCTTGCTTCTTTCTCAGTTCAAGATGACAATCGAGTATAGTGAGTCCCATGTTTGTTTTTGACAAGATGTTAAATGAAAAGCCTACTGCAGGTTTTTTTGTAAAGCAAAATGTGAACCTCACTACATGTTTGCATATATATTCCCTTGTTGTATTTCCAAATGCACCACTCGGTGAAAAAGGTGATGAGTCAGCTTCTAAATAATATGTTTTTCCTTGTTGTGAATTTAATATTTTTGAGGAATTGTGTTCTACTCAACAAAATTGGGATAAAAGTCTTTGGGGTTTTTTGTGATGGCAAGTTTTCTCTGCTGCATGCACATATGGTTAGCGTCAAATTTGTTAGTTATTTTAATGGAAATAATACTTTGTTTGATTCCAATTTGCCATTAATATGTCTGAGACTACCAGCAATTTTGTTTACAAGTGTAAAAGTCTGTTTGATGCTATGTTATACTTCGTTTTATTCCTCATTCTTTTCATAGAAAATTCAGCTAGTTATTTCACAACTTGAGCAAGCACTCATCTGATCAATGGAAAGTTTTAGACTATTACGGTATCACATATAATTTTATTTCTTTAGTGAAGCCAAAAGAAGAAGAAAAGGGGTGGGGGGTTTTTTAATTTGTACCCTGATAGAGTCAAGAGCCTAGCACTGTCTTTGTCTTCAGGACTTTCTTGCTTACAGTTTCTGTCATCAAACGTAAAATGTAAGCTTTTTTTTCCTGCTTCCAAAAGACGTTTTTTCCATAGACGATGTTCTTTTTTTCTTTCTGTTCTTATAATGTTGTGCCCTTTCTGCTGTTCATATAAAGCCTCTCTTCCTGCTATAGGACTAGAATTCTTATTTTTAACTTCAGTGAGGTTTTTTTTCTGCTGCTTCCTTTCTATTGTCTTCCTGGTGTCTTGTTCTAAGACTTTTTGACTTTATGGCCACGCAAAGCTAAGAAACTGTTTTTAGTTTGATACGAATTTTACGTGAAAAATTTACTCCACTGTCAATTCCATAATATCTGAGGCATCTACAAATGAAATGCTGAATAAGTTAACTTGTGTTTGTTTGAAACATTAGAAATATTATCGACATAATTTTCAAGATTGGCAGCAAATATGCAATGTTACTTTTTCATCATGTCATGGCTTAGGAACCGTGATGTGTGTGCCCTCTGAAAGATTGAGTGCTAAAGTTTAGGATATATGGGTGTGGATATATATATATATTTATGTGTGTGAACGTGTGTGCATGCTCCCTATTTGTTTGCTCTAATCACAAGTGTTGCTTTTGATGTATGGATATCTCATTATGTTAAACAAAAGTCCTTGTTTCAGAATTTTGCAACTTTATTCTGTTTGTTGTACAGAGTACTCTCTCTCTCTCTCTCTCTCTCTCTCTCTGTGTCACTCTCTCCATTCCTCAGTTTACACTTCTCTTGTCAGCTTCTGGTACTTTTTAGGCCTACTATGTGTATGCGGTATGAAGTAGAAATTCTTAACCTTCCCATCAAAATTATCATTTGAGTTGTATATTCATATTTGTTTTGACTTTTTTCTCTTTCTTTCCTTCCTATTGTTTGCTTTGGATTTTCGTTCTTAGATTGATAATCAGAATCGGCACACTTAGAAAATGAAGGTACTATTGTTTCTTGACTTATAATACCATCATCAAAAGCATTTGATATCTTATGGTTTTGTTTGAGGTTCTGGATTGTAGACTGCGTGTATCCAGATAAGTGTGAACTAGGGATCTATTTGTGGAGTTGTCAGTGCTGTCAGCTATTTGGCTTAGTCCTATCAGGGATGGATGTTGGGTTTCGGTTGGAAGTCCCCCTGAAATTATGAGCTTGCATTGTTTATTTGGGGCGTAAAGCTCATATTGTGCCTCACCACAACATTTTGTCTTGCTAATATTCCTTTTTCGGACTACTTAATTGAGTCAGTGTTGTGCTTCAAATAGACCTGTGTGCTGAAGGGTTGAGTAATCATCCAATAACTTGACCTCAAATACTATTTCATAATCTTTTTGGGGGGTTTGCATTTTATGACATTAGTGAAATTTAAATTCCTTTTGCCGCTGAAAGTGTATTGTTTACTTTCACATATTAAATGTAACTGAACCATTTTTCTGTTGACATATTGTTGGGGATTTTTTGGTTTGAAAAATTTTTGTATTATCTTTGAAGTTGCGAAGGAATTGCAATGATATTAGGCTTCAAAAACGATTGTGTCATCATTCGTCAAGTAGTTTCACTCCTGGAGAGAAAGAAAATGATATCATTTTACATGATATGAAAGATTGTTGTAAACCCTTTTGTACTTGAAAGAGTAGTTGTGTCATGTCGCACCCATAGAAAACTCTCTTTGTGCTCTTTGTGTTGTTAAGGCACACAAAGTCCTGAAATGTAAATTTGATAGAAGTATACTCAGCTCTTCCAGTGCACAAATTGAAATGTTTGCATTTGTCTGATGAAATTTTTAAAAGCAAGATAAATATAACTCAGACGGGTACAATGCCCAGCATTTGTGGGAAGGACCAATGTAACAGGAAATTCTGCATGATAACAAGTGGAAAATTTTAATGAGTCCAACAGATTTTACCTCATAGTTTAGTTTATCGAGAATAATTGTATGCCTAGTTTGCTTTTGTACGGTTCATATTATACTGCAGAGATTAACCGGGATAGAAGTTGTTCTCTCCGTTTATGTCTTTGTCCTGTGTCATTGTCACAGTGTTGTAATTTAGTTTGTCATACTAGCTTGACCTTGTATACCCCAACTTACATTCAAGACTTCTATGGTATTATATAAATATATATATATATATATAAATTATTTAGTTTTTACATACACAGACTTACTCAGAAGCTAATGGTTTTCTTTGGTTCATTTTTTTAAAAGTTTTGTTCATAGAATCAGCAGCTTTCCAGGAAATGAACTGAGACATATTTGGATTAATGCAACAGATATGGCTGCTTGGTTTTTGTTTTTGTTTTTTTGTTTTTTCTTGTTTTCCAGAATTTTCAGAGCTTTTTTTTTTGTATGAACTTTTTTTTAATATCTTTTCAGTCTGCATGTGATACTTGTTTTGTTGCAATGTAATGTGATCAGAAACCGGTTTTGTATGGCAGGACTTTGTTAACGTAACTGCTTATTTTTTTCCCCCACTGTTGTATTCTGACATTCTGACAGCAACAACAGAAGATCGGTGACCTCAATTTCAAGATATTAACATTTGACTGTGAAGGGGGGAATCCAATATGTTTGTTTATTCTTGATTGCTAGACCGTAAAGTATTATAATTATTTATGTAATTTTAACTTTGTTTTGTTTCTCTAAACAGAGCTTGACAGTTCATCTTTTGTCTGCATGCTTCTAACCAACTTTCTAGTGTTGCGAAGTATATTTTTTACATTTTGTGGCTTGTTACGGCATTATTATAAACATGTGTTTTATGAGTAGTTGGGGAGTGCCAGGGGTAGGTTCTACTTATTTTCTTTGCCATAATTTATTGTTGCTTTTGACTACTTTGGTCAAGCGTAATGGCTGGTTTGTGGATGCTCCTTTTGCTACTTTTTAGTACACATTGATATTACTGTAAAAATGTGGCTGTGGTCCGATATTGACTTGCTGTCAATTAAGACTCAACTGGTTTGGCATTATTTTCTTAAACCTTTAGTGTGCATTTAGATAATATACACATACGTGTACCATGCTCTTGGGGCCCACATTCTTATAATAATTTTAAAAAATCATGATGATAATAAAGGAGTGTTAAAAAGGTCCCATCTGGAAAAAAAAGCTTTGTGTATTTAACAATTCACAGCACTAAATGATGGAATCTTATTGAAGTGCTTCTCTTTTGCAACAAAAAAAGAACAGATGAATTAATGTTTCTCTTACTCTGATATTTAATTGTTCATGAATTCGTTCATTATTTTTTTTATACTGTTCCATGTTGTCTTTCTTTGCTTGTGCACATATTTTCCAGTAATCATTCTTGTCGAGGATATTGTCGATAATTTTTCGTCTCTTCTATTTTGCTTTTATTGTTCTGTTGAGTGTAGATCTCTCATTTTTATACCCTTCTGATTTGATTTGTGCAGAATTTTGTCAGAGCCTATGTAGAGTCACTTCATGTCTGTTTAGAATCTGACTACTTTTTCCAGTGCATTTATTAAAATCACTTTGCTTTCTTTTCCTTTATATATATATATAGATTTTATTTCTCCAATAGAACAACAAGATGGAATCCTTTAGAACTTAGAACTAATTTTGAGCAGAGACGAGATATTTCTGTTTTTCTTATCAGTAATTCTTTTTACCTTCTAATGTCCCTAATTAGCCACTGAATAGCAGATATTTTTCTTTAACAGCCGGGCACTGTCTTTTACTTTTCTCTTAATTAACCTTTTTTTTTTTTTTTGCCTCTAAATTTTTCTGTCATCAACTTTTCATTCCTCAGCCACTTCCCAGTTCCTCAAAGATCTTCTTCTAATGCCTTGTGACATATTTGTCTCAGTCTCTCAGCTCAGTGTGTGTACTCTAGTCCATGCTTTTCTGTACTTGTCTTTTTCATTCCTTTCTATAGTTTGCACTCTGACAGAAGTGTCTTTCACTCTCCTGCACCTTTTACTTTCACTCAGTTTTATTCAATCTCAACGGATTTTTTTAAATTTATGATGTTCAGTAGCCCCTCAGCCCTTGCCAGGTCATTGAATGGTTTGACTGAAAAGTTAAGTTCTCTGCTGTAATTTGTATGATCTCAACAGACACAAAGCTAATGAGCTTCCCATCGTCGAGGTGCTGCCAATATGACCTATCTCAATTTTTGCACTGTCGAGATCATGAAGAAAACTTGATTTATGGTTTTATAATGCACTTTTCCTTTAAAGATAGGAATTGTCAAAATTATGGTTAACGGCCGGGCGCTGTCGAAAATTGTTTAATGATGCCATGCACAATGAAGTGAGGAATTATAAAATGATCACATTCCATTACGGCCAAGGCCTGGCTTAGAGATCATTTTATGGATGGCAGCACCATGACAAATAATTGCTGTCATTAGCCTTTCCGTTTCAGGAAATACTAGAGGAAGATAGAACACAGATAGGCTTTTTTTTCTACAATAGTAATTGTTCTTCCTTCATCTATCCTGCATTCCTGTACTGATGTTTGTGGTCTAATTCCAAAGGTTGGCCTGCTTGCCTTTAATGCAGAAGATATGAATTAGATTCCCGATTCCTATTTGAGTGAGGAAGATTTTTGGGGGGATTGAGTATTTCGTTGTTTCTACGGGAATGTATCTCACACAGACCATACGGACCCTCCTACTACCCAGACGTTGAAACATCATTCTCTATCATAAAGCCAATTTTTCTTTCTTGTCACGGTCACTGTGTGCTTTGCTTTCCTCAATATGATCATCATTTTGGTAGCCATCTTTGTGGAAATGCGATTTTTATCATCTTAAGCAAGAGCAGTCACGCATGGCAAGTTGTCCCGTATTTGAAGTGCCTTGCAGCAGTCATCTATTTTTGCCTTTTTTCTTTTTAAACTCTGGTTCTTTTCTACATTGACACTGAATTTTGATCACGTGGTGGGTCATTCACTCTACTTATATATCTAGCCAAATTAAATTTTGATACATCGATGTCATTATACTGATTTTTTCCATCTTTGGTACTGTGAATAATGTGAATGGAGCAAGTGGAGCAAAGTTATGCTGTTCATGTCATAGAAAAATTGATTGTTTTTTTTATTTTAGACAAATCATTTGGAGTGGATGTGCTGGTGTTTTCATTGCCACTGTTAAAATATTTCCTTTACAGTAGGCCCTACTGTACCAGCTACCACTATCTAGGAAAACTACTTGTATTTGTCAAACACGCTTTTTTGGTGCATGTTAAATTCTTTTATGGGGATCATCATTTTCAAAAATCTTTGAGAGGGTCGGTGTAAATAAAATCTAGCATTTGGCATCAAACGAATAAATATCCACAAAGTAGATCATTGAATACATGTGGAAGTAGATATTCCAGGTAAGTACAATTGACCCATGTACTGAAACTGTTGTCTTGATCAGCTAAAAGGGCTTGCTTCAGAACTCTACTTTTTTAAAATCTTCATTGAAAGGGTTATGACTTCTGCTGTGTGTAGTTTGAAAGTTTACTAACTTTGTGTTCTTGGATGACTGGAGAAATTCTGCCCCGCCCCCCCCCCGAAGGCATTTCTAGGTGATATTCAAGCCACATTCTTAGAATAAATAGTTTTAGTTTTTTTACTCAAGAAAAAGTTCTGTGTTGTGGGTGTTTTCATATATACAAAGACTGTACAATGGTGTCAGAAGCTGAATTAAATTTTGTTTCCAATTGGATGGATGGCTGTGGTTGATTCTAAACATCAACAATATTTGTGTTGTGATTGTTTAATTGTTCAGTATTTTGTATAGGACAGACTTTTGTGTGCGTGAAGAGCCTATGGTGGAAGGTGAGGATGGTATTGTGTGTTTTTTCCGTTGAAAAAGACACTCCGCTTTTGTATGTTGTTTGTTCTATTCGTAGTTTTATCTTGTTGTAGAAAAATACACACCGAGTTGTAGAAGTTATAGATTTTGAAAAAATACGTATTGATATACCGAGACGAATATTACCTGTCAGCTTTCATTATGTAGGGGAGATGTTTGTTTTCAGCTCCTCTTGCAATTCGTTTGCAGTTTTATTTCACTTGAAACATCATCCATTTATTCTAAGCTGCAGTATGTCCTCAGTCTACAACAGGCTTTGGCTAACGTTTGGTGCCAGAATTTTATGCAGGCCTGACTCCTGGTTGTTGATTACAAAAGATTTTATTATGGAATTCAAAATGTTATTTTTCTATTATCTGCTTCCATGTTCGCTTACAATCAACCCACAGCCATAGGAGTGCATGGAAAGTTTCTATCTGAGAGCGCCAACGTGACTATGTTAATGTATGAAATTAAAAGATCACTTTATCATTTTGAAACATGAAAGTCTTGTGATAATTTTAGGCTTCACATCTCTTGCTATGGCATTAGTACATAGTACTAGTAGCATGCTGTTATCTTATTTCTGTAGTACATAACAAAGTTATTTTAATATCTGATATCTGGTTCAGATTTGCATATTATTATTATTATACGGTTAATACAGTCAAACCTTGTTATACTGCCACACTTGGGATGAGCATGAAGTTGTTGGAATAATGGATCTAGCGGTTTAACAGGGTTCCTCTCCTCCAACTTTCCAAAGTCAAGGGAAATTATTCTGCTGTGTGATCCGTTTGAAAGGGGATTTTTGTTGGTGATTTAAGTGTACATGAGCTGAGAATCTTCGCTTTCTCTCTCTCATGTATATGTATTAAGATTAGAACTAAGGGTCTTCTGTCTCTCTCCCTCTCCCTCTCTCTCCCCAAAGTCAAACCCTGCTGAACTTTACTTAAGTTCAAATTTACATTTGTTTAAAAAGGACAGTACAACATTTGGGGGATGGCGATGTGAAAACTTAAATATTAAATTTATATATATATAGGTGTTCCTTTGGCAAAACCTAGCTGTAAGCAGGGCTGGCGGTATAACATGGGGCAGTATAATGAGGTTTGACTATTCAAGTACAAGAGAAACAGTTTTTTCCTGAAAGTTCTCTCATGTTATTCAGACTCTTACATGACCTCATTAGAGGAAGTTCATGACCTCATATATGCAGTTTAAAAAGTGCTTTGTTTATATTTTTATTATATTAATACTAAGCAGCTTTAGATCAGTCTTTGAGATACACAGTAGGTTTTATTATGAAATGATTGGACCTCTGCTACATTTACAAACATACATGCACTACTGAAGTGAGATATGGAAACGATATTATCAGTTGGTCTCGGAACCAAATGATATGATTATTCATTATTGAATTGTGTGACCACATTTAATCTTTTGTGTACACATGTTATGGAATATTTCTTGGAATTCTTGTTTTCCTATTTGTTATTCATTCTAACCCATGTAATGTTCTAAATGATAGGCATAATGAAAATGTAATATATCGTCACTGCAGTTCGCTATCTGCCCATGGAACAAAATTTGAAAACTCTGGTCTTAAGGCATTTGACCTAAGCACAATCTTAAAAATCAGCTTTCACATTTTACTTTGCATCAAACAAGTTATGTTTAAGTTGTCATGAATTATAATTGAGTCAGTTATAATTCATGACAACTTAAACATAAATTGTTAAAATCAAGAGGCTAAAACGCGTATTAAACTTATAAAAATGTTTTTTTCACATTTTCTCAAAAGTAACTGAATGCTCTATACGCGGAAGCAAATTGCACTGAAGATATGCTCATATTCTAGCTCACATTTTGCCCTGTAATGGTAATGCATACTGAAAGAATGCAGAGATGACTGCAATGCGACACGACTATATGAAATATCTGACAAAAGGGCTTAGAGGCATTTTTAACAACAAGTCATGTATGTATTTATTAAAACAGTACATTGTATTCTTATTAAAGATATTGACACAGAATATTTTTCCATTAATTGTTATTTATTTTTCTATGTTCATCCCTGATTTCAGCTGTGATTGGGATTTTGTGTCAGTTGGTTCTCATGGTCCCAGGGTGTTCAACAACTTGGAACCTTCCACTGAACAGACATTCCCTGTGAATTTCAAACAGGGGCTGGTTTGCGGAAGCTCTGCTGTAGTTTGCTCCTTCTTTCTTCCTGTCAAATATTTATTGTCTCATCTCTCCTCTTTTGTCACATTTTGTATTTGTTACTTTCTTGTAATACCTCTAATCTTCGACACTTACACGACCTTACTGTGTTGCAAGTGTCATAAAACTCTTACTAAAACAAAAACATCTATCATCCTTATCTCTTCCTTTTTTTGTGTTTGTTATGTTACTCTCCAGTAACACCTTAATCTTCCACACTTACAATATGCTTCCATCTATTTACTCAAAGCATCAGTTAACAAAAGCAAAAGTGAAATGAAGAGCGGAGCAAAGTAGTGGTATTATAATAATAATAATAGATAATAGATAGCATTTGTATAGCTCATATCCCCGCTCAACAGCAGGCTCTATGCGCTTTACACTATATTATTACCCCAGCAGACCATAGACCACTCCGAAACATTCTCAGCTTCCCGGGAAGCATACAGTGCGAGCAGCCGATTAAGCGCTCAAACACTAACAAACTGACAAGATCTTTCGCTGTCTATAGCCGGGTACCCATTCCCACCTGGGTGAAGTGAGGAAAATTCGTGTAAAGTGCCTTTCTCAATGACACAACGTCAGGCCCCTGACGGGATTCGAACCCACGACCTTACGGTTGCGAGTCCGAGAGCCTAACCACTAGGCCACCGAGATGAGGCGACACAAAAATGGCTACATTGTCTGAGTTCGAGTAAAGAGACACATGGAAACTATTATGGTCATTAAGTGCTGGGAAAAAGTAAAACAGTCAGTGCCACTGACTGAAGTGTCTTTATGCCATTCCCAAAGGGGGGACATTTCTCGTTCATGCACAGTAGAAGAACTGTAAATGGGCCGATTCATCGTCACTCCTAACTGTCCCTGATTTACAACAGGGAACTGCTGCTTTTTCTTTGCTAATCCTTACTATTGTCATTTTTCCTCTACTTCTTTTGTATGTTTGTCACAATCTTGTGACCCTCTATTTCTGGGGTGCCTTGATAGTCGAAGCAGACCTTGTGCTGTTGAAGCTAGAGGGGTGAGCAGAGTAAGTCTGATTCCCTGTAAGGACTTCTCTGTTGACATCCACCCCTTGGCGCTCATATGACCTTATGCAGTTGCGAGCGCCGTAAAACCTCTACTAAACCTATTTCTTTAAAGTATTAAAGTCAGAAACAACAGAGGGAAAGTAAATGCTGCTAGTCATCCAGGAACAGATTAGGACAAAACTGCCATCTGCTGACAAAACGCCTTTTTTCATTTTTGGCACCAAATTCTTTCATTTGCTAAATCGATAGCCTGATCAGTTAACTTACTTTTCTTGATACTGCTGTTAATTTTTTAAAAAGGCGCTTTGTCAGCCGGCAGCAGAATAGTAACACTGAAAAAAAAGGAATAAAAAATAAAAGGAGCTGAGCACCAACCATTCTCCCACAGATAAGAAAAGAAATATAGCCGGAGCCGAGACAAGACGCCAAATTCCTCATGTTTATTGAATACGGAATAACATAGTGCAGAGTGACAGCTCAGCTGAGGACTGCCCATTAGTTTGTGTCCGACAGACGTACAAGTGTTATATTTCATTGTTGTCTTCACCCGAGACAACAACAACTCATTCTTTCCATCCACACATACACATACAGGCACATGATACCGACAGCATTATATCTAATCTAATATGTACACACCAAGTGTTTCACATTCAATACAGTGCTTGCATGCATAATTATACAAATAAATCCATCCACCACATAGAATTTACATGCGCATATATATATATATATATATATATTTAAGGATAATATATCAAGGAATTTATATACAATGCAATGAGCATCTCATGTACAACACCACACCGTCATATGATGTCATACTTCAAACTTCAACCATAGAGAGCAACTGGCCTTCACAGACAATCCTTTCAAACAGGGTTAAATAGACATGAGAGCATTAGTTCTGTGGAAACCCTGAACTAATGATGATACCCTGAACAAATGATGATGGCACTTGCTGTGCCAACTGCAGAGTCCAAAGTTGTTGTTTTTTCTCCCCAAAACACATCCTGCATCTAATCAAACAGCATCATAATCTACATTATATGTCAACTTAGTTTCACACTTTACCCTTGAAGCGCAAAAACTAATAGTTAATAGCTATCCTATTCTACCGAACAATAGAAAGAAAAGGATAATATAATGGGACAGTTTTTCTGTCTCCTGAAGATTGTTCCTGGGTGTTAACTATTTGGTGACAGACACTATCAATACATTAACTCCCTCAGCTCTGACCATTTCAGAAACTGCACTCATTCCAGTTCATGCAAAAGTCACTTAGGGGGGAGTATGCAAGAGAGACAAGATGAGTTAACAGAATGCAGAACATCAGTTATTTTCTCCTTGCACCTCACAGCAACTGGCATTTTTGGGAACGCATAGACAGGCGAATATTTAAATTAGTCAAATGCATCATCATCATCATCATCACAGGCCAAAAAATGTGGTCTAAAACAGCATACACATTATTGTCTGTAAAGAAGAAACAACCCAAACACACTCCCGGCGTACATGCACTACAGTAAAACCCTGGTAACACAAACTTCATAGACCAGAAAATTTCTTTGCGTTAAGGGAGGCTGTAATGTAAATAATAAAAGCCAACACCCCCCCACCCCCCAAGGCTTTGAAATCCTTTCATGGCAACTGAAATTTCATGCTAAACAGCTTTGTGTGAAACAAATCCTACTGTATGTATATATACACCCACAATGATGAATAATATCTCCAGGGTATTTTAGCGAGTCGGGGAGACAGACGAGAGAAACCTGAGGCAAAAACACTGGGCAGAAGTGAGTCAGAACACAGAAATGGCGGACACAGGCAATGAAGGGAAAGGACATGAAACCACCTAACTAACAGTGCAGCTAGCCCCAGCTCACTTGTCCTCAATGGTAGCGTAGTTATCAATTTATAGTGAGTGACAGCAAGAGCAAAAATGGCCACATTTCTTCTGCAGCAGATTGGGATAACAGAAACAACACTGAAAACAAGAAAAAAGAGCAGAGAGTTCCCCCCCTCCCCCCACCACCACCAACAACAACTTTGAACCAGGACAATACCAAATCTTTTTCTTTTTTTTTTTAAAGCAGACCAAATAAGTAAAATAAGTGAAGGCACAAAGTGGAGGGACAAAGACTTTAAAAAAAAAAAATTCTAAAAACAAGGTATTCGATTTATCTTTGGTAAAGTTGTCACCTCTGCTCTTTTTCTACATTTACACTGTTGAAAAAGATTTATGTCCACCGGTTCTCACAGGAGTAACAGTAAGTACAACAAGCTCTGCCACAAACAGAGGAAAGCCAACACAACTGAAAACTTAGGGGGGATCATTTCCAAAGACAAGAAAATAGGAAACTCACCAAAACTCCACGCTGGAATATGCATTCAACTCGTGCGCAAAAAAAAAAGAAAGATATTCTTACACCAAATAAATGAAATTTCACTGTTATAGTTATACTATACCAGCATGGAGCATTATGTTACAAATTTTGAGAGAGCATTGAGGACGAGATTATCCAGAATGCGCCGGATATGTCACAAGGAACTATTTTTAATCATCAGGTCACAGGGAGCCTCCTGAAGGATGGAATGCCTACAGTACACTCAAAGGACAGTTCCTAAAGACACCACGACCACGTACCTTCTCCATAACACACACACACACACACACAGACACACACACAGACACACACACACACAGACACACACACAGACACACACACGCGCACACAAAGAATTACAAAAGGTAAAGGTACATTTTGCGAAACTGAGTAACATATAGTGGGAGTTTGTTGAGTTCAAGAGAAGAACACAAACAAAACAAAGGTCGTATATATTGCGCTGTACTGAGAAAGGATAAAGCAACATTGCACAAGTAGAGACCCCAGTTGCTATCAATGAATGTCTGTTAGCAAAGTCAGACAGAAGTCTCCTTTAAAACATTTTTTTTAAATTTAAAATTTTAAAAAGTAGGTGTTTTTACATCCCCATTGACACAATTTAGATCACTTAGGAGGCAGGTTTCCAACCCTGCCTGTCAGGGTCAAACTGAGCTGAGAGATATACAACATCTCGGCAGACACACTGAGATACTCGATAAAAATGTTCTCCCCACCCGGGAATCAAACTCAGGTCTCCCGGAAGCCTCAACCAAGCTCTCTCTTAACCGCTACAAATTATGATTCCATTGAGTGGACACAATTTGTGTTTTACAGAGAATCAGCAAGACAAAGGCCGCAAATTACCAAAAGAAAAAGAGAAAAATTGCAACACTGAAAAGAAATAAGGCTAGCACACCCAACAAGAGCATCCTCTCAAGCACCCACACAGTAGACACGCAGTGACTGAAGTGAAACATCCGAGATTCAAAAAAGTCATTGCGGGCAAGAGGGCAGCACAAAGAACGAACTGTTAATAGTGACACCTAAAATGCTTGGTAAGATTTTTGTTTTGGTAAATATTTTACGGCACTTGCAACACAATAAGGTCATATTAAGTGTGCCGAAAATTAGAGGTGTTACAAGAGAGTAACAAACATAAAAAAGAAGGGCGCAAACCACACCAGAGCACCCGCCAACCACCCACTTTATAAGATTGTATGAGCAGCTCTCTTCAAACCCCAACTATTGCTGTGCCACGTCAAAGTAGAAAAACACATCCACACACTGACAGTGACAGTGTTACTCAGTATCAGAACATTTTTGGGGGTTTTCTTAAGAGTTTTACGGCACTTGCAACACAATAAGGTCATATAAGTGCCGAAGATTAGAGGTTTTACAAGACAGTAACAAACACAAAAAAGGAGGGGAGATAAAGACGATAGATGTTTGATAGGAAAGAAGAAGCAAACCACAACAGAGCACCCACCAACCACCCACGTATCAGAACATGCAAGCGGTCAGAAAGCCGTCAGAGGAACAAGAAATGTACAAATACCAGTTTATGGAGTGGGAATTCAATGCTGCCACAGTGTGATGATACAGTCTTCTTCAGAAATATAAGTTTTAATTTGTTTGTTTGTCTAAAAACAAGCATATCAACACAGCTATAATAGTTAGTCCTCGGAAAGAAGTAAGGCAGACAGGGACAACAAAGGGGTAAAAAGAAAAGCGAAGAAATATAGCAATTAAACAAAAGGAAAAAATTAACGCCTGCAAAATGTATCCTCTCACCACTGAACGTTTTATGCTTAAAATGCCTTGTGACTTTGCGCTAAGTGCAGAAAAATGTTGGCTGACGCAGAACAAATATCATCAGCTGTTGTAACAGAACAGTGCTTACTAGGTTTACTCCAAAGATCACAAAGATGATATCAGTACAGTGGCTTACAATGACCTACACGACAAAGGAACCAAAGTGGAAAAATATATATAATATATATATATCTATAAACATGCTGCTTCCTCATAAGACCACAAGACAGTTAGATAGATTTCTCGAATTTCATACAAGTTGCATAGCAACTCATCAGTTGACCATCACACAGAAAAAACTCCCCAACGCAACCTAAAAAAAAATAAATCAGAACACAGCATAACAATATGGCGAAAACTCACAAAGTATGGCTATTGCTATAATAACTCCTTGCTGGGTCGAGCCCAACAGCAAAAATCCTGATCTCTTACACCAGGAACAGAGCACTATACACTTGAACTGAATTACAAAAATAAAACACGGAACTTTGAGTACTATATTACGTGCTGTGAAGATTTTTCTTCTTTCACCACAAATAACAATCAGGATCCAATCCCAGGGCGGCTTTGAGTTGACCCTTGAGTTGTAGAAATGCAATTATTTTATTTATATCACATTGTGCTAGTGCTGGGAAATGTTTGACAACAGTTGAATCAGGTAAAAAAAACAGTGGTGTCAGTCGCAAAATTGGCCATCTCAAGAGAAGCATATTATACAGGAGGGATATGTACTGCTCCATTTCAGTTCTTTTTTTCTATTATTTAATGGAATATTGGAGACATTACCTTGACTGACTTTTATTCATTGCCTGTCAGATAAATTTACATCTGGATGTGAAATAAAGCTGTATATAATATACACATAATAAAACATTGAAAATTTTCTTTGCGTCAGAAATCATCAACAGGAAAATGGTAACCTTAAATTGACCGCTGAGGAGCAGGACTGGGAGAAACGTTACCACAACAGCATGTAGACAGGGATGGAATCACTAAAGCCAGAAGTACAAGTATTCATTTTCATACAAATGTATGTTTTTCCAGAGTCTATACAACATATGACATAGTGCAGTTCAGTTAGCATGGCAGATCTATGACAAAGTGGAACCAGCTTGGGTTCATCAAAACCTTGAGTATTACGAGGATATTCTGACGCTCTGTATCTACACATCTCTCCGTTTCTTTTTGATTCTACTAAAGGAATCCACTCCACTCTGAGAAACTTCCCAAATCATGCACGGAAATAACACTGCCTGAAAATGATATATGGCTTTGTGACATACTTATATCTAGAAAGCTGTAAACATACTGAATTTCTATACATTTCTCATAATAACAAGGTTTAAAAAAAAAAAAAGAACCAAAAAATGGGGACTCGGCATTGTTTCCAGTTTAAAAAATAAACAATTCTGAAAGATTGAAAAAAAAAATGGAATAAGAGAAACTGCCTCAAAAATCACTGAAAGTAGCTCAATTATAATAGTGTGAAGAAGCATTTTTATGTATCATCAAGTTTGAGTATCATCAGCTCCTTAAGACTACACACCCCCTTTCCACACAAATTGTAAGATCACCCAGTGCTAGTTACATACCACTAAGAGTAAAGAAAGTAAGATACAAAAGAAGTTTCTTACCATTTAGTATAAAGCTACTGTTGGAATAAACATCAATATGTATAGCTCTTTCGAACATCTAAAGGTCAAGTGATAAATTCCTGCATGTGGTTGAAAAATACATTTGATGTGATATGTGCATTATTGTCAGCTTTACTTTTCTCTTCACATTGAATTTTAATGAGAGTAATATATAATTTAATTTCTATGTTTACCTGCATGTGTTTCTATGGCTCCTGTACAGCCAAGAAAAATTTCCCTCTGGGACAATAAAGTATTATCTTTTCTTAAGTCCAGGAAATTTCCTTCTGCTAGAATATTTGCCCATAGAAGAAATTAAAGTCTCTGAAGAAAGACTCTGTATGAACAGATTAGCAACCTTGAAAACTTCTAAATTCAAACAATCGACCCGAGCATTCCCACGCAGTGTTCCCCAACTACCCCATCTATAGACACTTTTGACATTAAATAAAGATATACTTTAGAAATACTGTGGATTCATGGGTGAAACTGGCAGTCAATTTTTTAAAAAGGAAAAAAAAAACCAGAACAGAACAATTCCAGGGAAGCAATGCCATGAAAAAAAAGTTTAAAGAGGGGGAAATGTCTCTTCAAAGCTGAAACACTGTGTCCTGATTTTGACTTCTAGATTCTATGCCTTTACAGTGAATAAGAGATAGAAATGGTAATACGAAAAGCAATTGTGAGCCCAGCATTTCTATTCTCGGGAGAAGAAGCCAAAAATGTTTCTGAGTGTTATTGAGTTTACTAAGGTAACAACAGTGTTAAAGCACATTTGAGCATGCTATAGAGCATGAATATGTGCTAAATAAATGGAATTATTATTTATAATTTTTTTCAAATAAGACCCAAAAAAATATTGATATCAGGCAAACATCCTGAAAAGTTATCACCAAACAGCTGAAGCCCTTCATTCACCCACGCAGTGAAAAAAACTAATCTTCTTCATCTCAACAAAACATAGAGCCAACGCACGGTGACTATATGAAAATCAAACACTTGTACACACAATCTCCATCCCTCCCATGACAAGCAAGTCACAACATCATGAAACATTAGCGCTCACCATTCATTACGGACAGAAGAGATAGCACAGCCATTTTCCAGGAACGTCGTCCACTCGGACAATTAATTACAAAGCAATGTACAGCTCACATCGGCAAAGCTCATCCATGCTTTTGAGAACCCTCAAACACCATACAATTAGTGGATATGTCAAACCATGTACCTGGAATCCTTGTTCCAGAGCGTCTTAGTCAAACTATTTCAATAGCGTTCATCTTCAGAGTCACCATCACAAAATTTGAGACTCCCCTGCAAAACATTCATTAATTGTAAGGTTTTTCTCTTTAGTACTACCTAACTAAATGCTACAGCACAATCACTGATGGATGAAAAGAGACAGAGTGAACTGTCCTTCAAAACCAGCGTGCCAACATCCGCTCATGTCCGTGTTCAGAAGACAGCTGTTCACCTCACTTGGTTTTGAAAAGCAAGACACTGCTGCGCTTTAACTTCTTAGAATCCATTGGTGTTTGTCCCGTAGGGTGTCCAGCAGGGTACAGTTTGGACTCATCCTTAGTCCTAATCATCCAGAAAACGACTTTACGCAACTACAGAAGTATATTCACCTCACAAAGAAGTACTGCTTTATTTCACTCTCGTAACATGGTTGCGACTCCCACCAAAAGTAACCCGTCTCGTTCACATATACACGCACGCAAGCACGCACGCACGCACACACACACAGAATCACATCGCAGACATAGCCATCGAACAGTGCTCTAATTCATTTCACAAATAAAAATTCATTATGACACTATTCTATGACACGGGGTGATAGAATGTCTGAATGCTCACAAACGAACACGCAAGTCCAAACACACACACACATACCTGTGTGATACACATCCATGACACACATCCATCCACATTGCACTATGCCAGAGCTCCTTGCCAGCTCACAAAAAAGCTGAGATTGACTAACATTGTTTCCCCTGAGAACTAGCTACTACCCCAAAACTTGCAATCTCCATCCTCACATTACTCATAAAAGAAAAACGAGAATCAGAAAAAATAAAGCAAGCCCTACAAAAAGTGCAGACGCTTCTAAAAAGCATCAAACCCCCATAAACTCCCACGATGGAAGAGACCATACCAACCTTACATTCTAACCTACTTGATACACACTTGCATGATGTATTATATACAGAGAACAGTGTCTTCCAATACCTCAACTTCCATCATCTTTTTTTTTCTCTCTCTTCATAATCTCTTTTTCTTCTTCTCACCACTATCCCCCCCCCTTCCCCCCATCAATCATTATTTCCTTCTTTTCTCAACTATAACCTTGCCCCACCCCAGCCCTTGAGCTTTCACTCTCAAAACAGATCCATCCTATGATTACAGGTAAATTATAAATTATATCCCTCCCCATTCTTTGAGACAAGAAGAGCACCCCCTATCCCCCCTCCCCCCCCCACCCCCCCCCAAGTAATTTTTAAAAATCCCTTCCCTTTTGTAACCACCACCCCAAAACCTCATTTACATCAACCTCTTCATTATTCTCCCTCCCCCCCCCCCCCCCCCTCCCGTTTACTTTCAACTCGTTCACCACTCCCTTCACACACATACAACAACACACCGTCTGCTAAGTGTAAAATTCCGCTATACACCACATATAAAAAGTGACTTATGACGGCGCCTTACACTTAGCACTCAATACGCACTTATGTAACATCCAAAATAAAACCACCCCCAGCCCCTGAACCAAATTGTCCCTCCCCAAGCACCCAAAACATCTGATTAATACGCCAACCATATTATTTCCACACTCCCTTCTCACCCTTTCTTCAATCCTCTCTCACCCTCGTCCATTTCATCCTCCTCCGCCGCCTCCTCCTCCCAATCCCCCCACTCCCCGTTGTGAAGCTCCCGTCACGAGTCCCGTGCGGTGGTCAAGACTTGTGCAGCAGGTGTCTGGGTGCGTCGGCAAACATGTACTTGAGTTTGAAGGCCTCGGCCAGCAGCTCGCTGATCTCCTTGTCCCGCCAGTGCAGCGTGGGCAGGTTCTGCAGCAGCATCAGAATGCCCTGGAGAAGATAAGATCAAGGTAAGGTAAGGTAAGGTAAGGTAAGGTAAGGTAAGGTAAGGTAAGAGCAGGGCAGGCCAAGGCAAGGCAACTAAAGATAAGAAAAGATAAGGTAAGGTCAGGTAAGATAAGGTAACATAAGGTAAGGTCAAGTGAGGTGAGGTAAGGTAAGGTAAGGTAAGGTTTAAGGCAAGGCAGGGCAGAGCAGGGCAAGGCAACTAAAGATAAGATAAGGTAAGGTCAGGTAAGATAAGGTAAGGTATGGTTAGGTAGGTTAGGTTAGGTTAGGTTAGGTAAGGTAAGGTAAGGTAAGGTAAGGTAAGGTAAGGTACGGTAAGGTAAGGCAAATAAGAAAAAATAAGATAAGATAAGACACTTTATTGTCCCAGAGGGAATTTTGTCTTGGCTGTACAGGAGCCATAAAGAAACCATGCAGGTATACAAAGAAATTAAATTATATAATACTCTGATTCAATATGAAAAGAAAAGTAAAGCTGACAATGATGTACATATCACATCCGATGCATCATTCGACCACACGCAGGTATTTATCACAATATCTTTAGAGTTATACAGATACATGTATATATTCGAAACAGCAATACACATCAATGTTTATACTGACAATGGCCTTGTACTAGATGGTAAGAAACTTCATTTGTATCTTTCTTTCTTTGTCCTTAGTGGTACGTATCTGCCAAAGAGCGATCTTACAATTTACGTGGAAAGGAGGTGTGATGGGATCAGACCAGATGACTGCCGTGGGTTGTTTCATTTTAATGCGAGTTTTACAGCACTTTGCAACAAAATAAGGTCATAAAAGTGCTGAAGATTAGTTTAGTAAGTTTTAAGTTTATTCAGTATTTAAGGCCATGGCCCACATCATATCATATAAAACAATGAGCCCTGAGACATGTTGTTTGTTTTGGTAAGGTTTTACAGCGCTCGCAACTGCATAAGGTCATATGAGCGCCAAGGGGTGGATGTCAACAGAGAAGTCCAAATGGGAAATCAGGCTAACTCTGCTCACCTCTCTAGCCTCAACAGCACAAAGTCTGCTTCAACTACCAAGGCACCCCGTAAATAGCAGTTCACAAGAGAGTGACAAAAGAAGTAGAGGAAAATGACGATAAAGATGAGGAAAGAGAAAGCAGCAGTTCCCCCAATGTTGTTTCGGCACAGTATGAGCATGACATTGATAAGTCAGCCCATTTACAATTCTACTCTGCATAAGAACATGTTAATATCCCCCCTTTGGGAATGGCCTAAAGACAGCCCTGAAACAGGTTACTTCGCCAATCCTACTAGCTCTACAGAAGAAGCTGTACGGGCCAACAGAGCTGAGTAGGACGGCCTAATACATGATAGATACAGGACTTCAAGTGTGATGCGATCGAGAAGAAGAAAGAACAGAGAAAAACTTTTGTGAAGTCAAATGAGCCTTTGAGGACAAACAAGACTAAAAATACACACCTGACTTTTTTAGTTCACTTTTAGTAAGAGTTATTTTTATTTTTATTCTGTTCAAATCCTCAAACCAACCTGAAAATCATTCTCTGGTAGTGAAGTCCAGTGAGCTTTTGAGGGCAAACAAGACGATAAATAAGCACTTGACGTTTTCAGTTCAGTTTTAGGAAAAGTTATTCTTATTTCTCTTCTGTTCAAATCCTCAAACTGACCTGAAAATCATTTTCTCGTAGCGCATCCTCGGAGAACCTCTTGAGGAAAGCGGCACACACGTAGAGGTGAAAGTCGGCAAAGCCGTTGAGCTCGGCCTGGTAGGTGTCCCACAAGCGGATGGTGCAGCGCAGCGGGATCTCCCGCATTAGGAGGTTGTTCATCCAGCGGAACGAGAACTGCAGAAACTGCACATCGTGCCGCTCCAGATGAGCGTGGAGCGGGGCTGGGAGAAGAAACGAAAAAGATTCATACAATTCAACTACACTATTTTGTTTAATTTTTTGTTTGTTCGAGCAAGGAGAAGCACATCAACACAATAATGATCGTTTAAAGCTGGGGAAAAGTAAGACAGACAGACATAAACAAGAGAGGGAAAGTAAAAAAGTAGGACGTACCATTGGTGCCCTCCAACCATTGATAGAAACTGCACTAGTTTGAGTAAAGAATAGTACATCAACACAATAAGGGTAATTTTTTTAAAGAGTTTTACCGCACTTGCAACACAATTAGGTCATACAAGTGCCTAAGATTAGAGGTGTTACAAGAGAGTAACATACACAAAAAAAGGAGGAGAGATAAGGAGATAGAAATGACAAAACGAAAAATGGTGTTTTGTCAGCTTTGGGAAGAACAGTGCTATGACCCATCACATCAACAGTTGTTTTGACTCAACAAAGTATCGGTAGTACAATTTTTTTTAAAGTTTTATTAAGAGTCTTTACGGCGCTCGCAACTGCATAAGGTCCTATGAGCGCCAAGGGGTGGATGTCAACAGAGAAATCTACAGGGAATCAGGCTTACTCTGCTCACCTGTCTAGCTTCAAAAGCACAAAGTCTGCTTCGACTATCAAGGCACCCCGGGCCACAAGAGTGTGACAAACATACAAAAGAAGTAGAAGAAAAATTACGATAGTAAGGATCAGGAAAGGAAAAGCAGTAGTTCCCTGTTTCAGTTCAGACACAGTTATGAGTGTGACATTGATGAATCAACCCATTTACAATTCTACTGTGCACAACAAGAGGTTAATATCCCAAAGACACTTCAGTAAGTAGCACTGCCCCAAGGGGTAAACTCACCATCTATCCTCTTGATGAGCTCACTCAGGGCGTTGATCTTCATCTGAATGCCCGGCTGAGCAAAGGTATAGTTGTCCTGGATACCGTCCAGGAGTTTGGACATGCACCAAAAACTGTCGGCTTCGATGAGGTTCCGCGTGGACTGGGGCAGTTGGCCCAGGTCACAGTTCTCCACCTCAATGTCTGCAGGCAAGGAAACAAAAGGACGGCCGGTTATCAGTTCAGTAAGTCTGTCTTTTGGGGGAGGGGGTGTGTTTGGTTTTGGTTTTATTTTGGGTAAGTCTTACGGCGCTCCCAACTGCATAAGGTCATATGAGCGCGCGGGACACATCAAACATTGTCAGTTTGGTAGGAATTAATTTTGAATTTTGCCCACGTGGTGGCTGGAGCCTACTCTTTATCAGTTTTTGGACCACCAAGGGATCTTTAATGTGCGCATCTAGCACACGTGACCTCCATGATTTTTCGCCCTTTTCCGAAAAGGTATGGTGTCAGATCTTACATTTCGGAACAGGAGAAAAAAAAGTGGTGCTAATATTTACTTAAAAGTGTAAATTTTCCTCACCATTCTCAATGTACTCTGAGAGGAACACCACAAAGAAAGGAGTCACCAGGTCATTGATGCCCTGTACGTAGCCACTCGCCGGGTGCCGGATTGCCCAAATAAACAAGATTCTCTCAAATATCTGCAAAGAGGGAACATGATTATTAAAATTCTTTTTATGCAACTAACAATTTTTTAAAAGAAAAATCAGTCAATTTCCAAAGAAAATTTTTAACACAAAAAGAGGAGAAAGTAACAGGAAAAAACAATCAGGTGCATAAAAGCAGAATCATGACATTAAAGATGACAGAAAATTTCTCTAAAAAGAAATCAAGTGTATAAATAATAATAAAGAAAAAAGAAATAATCTACACATTACCTTCTTTACTTTTAACCCCTCGCCCCCCCCCCCCCCCCCCCTTTAATAGTTCAATTCTACTTGTACCGAGAAAACAACTGTAGAAAACCTCTGCAGCTTGAAAAATAAATGTTGAATGGTGCCTACATTTGTTTTTCATACATTGCAAGTACTCAACATTTTAAAAAGAAGCTCTCTTTAGATAACTCCTAATAACTAGACTTCAGTAAAAACAAATTAAAGAAAAAAAAACACCTGCCAACACTCAAGACCCCCAATTCAGGCATGCTTCAAACTATAAACGTGTGGTCATTACTGACGGTACACACCAGCTATGTTTTCATCATTCACAAGCTAATACAATCCATGATATAGAGAGAGAGTACAATGCCCAAGCAACCTTGCAAACATATTATGTACAATATATAGGAGCATCCGATGACCCATAAAATCTACTCCATTGAGCAAAACTTAAACACTGCTGAAGTAAAGGAATTCTTCTCAAGGAAATGTGGCATCATTTCTTCCTCTTTAGCTCCTTCTTCTTTCATGTTTACTAACTTTACCTTCTAGATCTCAGGGGTACTCAATGGTTTCAGCTATCAACCAATCCAACTTTATTACCCAACTGCAACTATCTACTAGTCCAATTTTTTTTCCACCCAAAGAGATTTAAATGACACATCCCCCAACTGGACAGTGTGTCCTTTGGGGGGGGGGGGGGGGGGAATCTCCCGCAACGTGTCAAATACAGATTTATTTTATTTTCAACATTCAGACAACAATCTTGAACCAGAAAGTAGAATCACAATACTTCATAAGCTGCTGCAGTTAACAGTCGAGATCATACTTTTAAAACATTTGTCATATTAGGTCTGATTCTACTTAGGATCTTTAGCTATCAATTTATGTCTTATATGGTGTCATATTGTAATATCAAATGTTTAAAAATTTGGCGACATTCTATAGTATACTCTTCACTGACATAACACTTAGTAATTGTTCATTTTGTATTGATCTATTTTTACTTTACTTCTTGCAAATATGGATAGACATCTAAGTATTCTTGACAAAAGATCAACTACATAGTAAACGAAAGAGAGAAAAAAAGAACGTTATTCACACAACCTGATAGCGTGATTAGGTTACTGTAATGTGTTTCCGGAAATATAAGTGAAGTTGTCATACTTTTATCGATTTAAACAAATTAGTAATGACTGTGCATTGAAGGAGGTGAAACTTTTCATAATTTCATCATCATATTAACCAGTTAGTATAAACAAAATTTCTCTTAGAATAATATGAACTGAGAATTCTAAACATTCAAGTTCAATCTTATAAACAAGCTCAATACAAACAAACCTGAGAATTTCAAACATTATTAAGTTTATTTCTATTAACAAGCTATCTTGACGTAACAATTGTATTGAAAAAAAAAAAAAGAATACACTACACTCAAACAAACTAATAAAAGCAGACACTGACCCCATCATGCACAGAAGGGAATTTCAAGCAAAACAGAGTGAGTGATGTGAAGAAGAAATAGACATAGGGAAGCTCGATGGAAAATGTGGGAGGAGCATGCAGATGTGGAGGCGGAGCCTCTAGCAGTGACAACTGGCGCATGCAACAACATAAAAGAGAATAAGGAATGCAAGGTCGTCACACTGTTATACAAAGGAGCATGTCCAACCAGGTGCTATGCCATTTCTTCAAGCATGAACGGAACAAAGATGACGATAATTGCCATAATGATTACCATCTAGCATAAGGCTTTTGTCAGAATGAGCATAGATGTGAGTTGCTCTTAGAGTATGTATCTGTATATACAAATGTAACTCCAAAGGTCTAGTATTTAAATTCCTGCATGTGGTTGAATGATGCATTTGATGTAAATGTACATTTTGTCAGCTTTACTTCTCCTTTCATATTGAATTTTAATGAGAGTAATATATATAATCTGAATTTTTTATGTATACCTGCATGTGTTTTTACGGTCCTGTACAGCCAAGGAAAATTTCCCTCTGGGATAATAAAGTAGTATCCTATCTTATCTTATAATATTTCAAGCTCGAACGAAACATACTTGATGCTATATATGTGCCATTATTTAGGGAGTGAGCTATGTACGCATACCTCGTGAGGCAGTAATTATTTCAAGGACCCATGAAACATACTTCTTGGCAATTGTGCTAACAATTTATGGAATTCAGTTGTCCCTTAATTTACAGCTTGCTGAACAACAGTTCTTAAGTGCATGTCTCAAATCTATTTTTTTCGCCCAGAGCTACAGTCTTTCTAAATTTAATCTTTAGCAATTTTTAACAGGTTTACAGGCGCTCATGCACATGATTCCAATCATCCTTTCTTCTTTCACAATTTTACTTATATGCATTTGTTTTGTTTTTTAAAAAGCAGGGCAGATTAAAACACTTTAAAAATAAAAGAGGTCCACTTTATAGCAGCAAAATTAAAAGGTACAAACTCCTCCGGCTGAAAATCAAAAACCTCATTTAACAAACAAAAAATTTTGTCAAAGAAAATCTTTTTTAAAAGTTCCCTTATCTTCCTCATAAAACGAAAAAATGCATTGACTGTGATAAAGAAGAAAAACAAATTTTCAAGCATTCCAGGAGGCAGTATTACCACTAAAAAAAAGCTGGCCTACCACAATTAAAAACTTGCAATTATTTTGTAAAGTTAGAGCTTTGTCCTTTGGACAACAACTAGAGAAAAAGAGCATCTTTCACAAGTTATAAATCAATTAACATTTTTTTGTGAAGTAACAGACACAAAATTAAGAAGAAATTTAATTAATCAAAAAAAGTTTACTTCAAATAGGATGGCCACAACCTGAAATTTGAAATTCGACTATTACGATATTTTAGTAGTAATACTGCTCCCTCGGTGCTCATAAAGAAAAATGAATTGAATTTATCTTTGAAATAGTTTATTTTTCCTCTTTTAATTCATGAAATACTAAAAGACAGTGAAACAAATTGAAAAAACAAACAAGGATACAGAATATAATAGGAGCTACAGTCAAGCCCTATATCAAACATATGCCCCTCCATGCTGCTACTTATTTCAAGAACAGAACCACTTCTCCCTTCAGAACGGAACCATTTCTATTTCCCAAATTGAACCATCTCTTTCCCCAAAACAAAACAAATTTTATTTCCCAAACAGGAACCACAACCTATATTTTTTCATAAAGAACCACCACAACTTCTATTTCTCATACAGAACCACCACAACCTATATCTCATTTAAAAAACACCACAACCTATATTTGTCAGAAAGAACCACCACAACTTTTATTTCTGTTTTTGAAAAAACCACAACTATTATTACTATTTCTTATACAGAACCACCACAACTTCTATTTCTTATACAGAACCACCACAACTTCTATCACTCATTACAAAAAAAAAAAAAACCACAACTTCTATTTCTCAATTTAACAAAAAAATACCACAACTTCTATTTCGCAAATTAAAAAACCACAACTTCTATTTCTTATTTTAAAGAACCACCACAACTTCTATTTCTTATTTTAAAGAACCACCACAACTTCTATTTCTTATTTTAAAGAACCACCACAACTTCTATTTCTTATTTTAAAGAACCACCACAACTTCTATTTCTTATTTTAAAGAACCACCACAACTTCTACAGCTCATTGTGAAAAACCAACCACAACTTCTCTACGAATCACTTCTAAGAAAGGTGAATAGAATGAAAGCTCCTGGGGAGGCTGGGGGGAGGGGGGGGGGGGGGGCCAGGACAAAACTTAAGGGCACGGTTAGTAGTTAGTGATAGCTGTCAGGCAATCCTGTGAGAGTGCAACGCTTCACTTCAGCACAACCACGAGCTGCTACACAGGTCTCGGGAGGATTTGGGGGGGGGGGGGGGGGGGGGGGGGGGGCTGCACCGCTGAGAGCTCAGTCGGTCCAGGTGAATACAATACTTACTTCCTGCGCAGGCCGCTCTTGGAACAAGTGAGCTAACGAGGTCATGCGGGGGATATCTTTTAGAATCTGTGAAAGCAGATTAACGGGACCAGTTGGTGGAGGAGAACTCTCTTCCTCGGTTAAGTAAACAAGAGGTAGCTAGCAAAGCGCTATAGTTTGTGCGCGCGTTGGCGTGTAGTGTGTACTCTCTCACATCCGTCCCACGGCATGCCTGTGTTAAGGGGACGCTGCCGACACTGTGGACAAGCTTCTTTGAGGAAACAAAACAAAACAAAACAAAAAACAAAACAAAACATATTGAGGCATTCACAAACACAGCGGCACAAAAACAGCTCTTTCGTTGTGAGAGCTCAACGCAAAACATAAAATGAAGCAACATAATTTAATCAAGCTGACTAACACAACCCAAAATTACCGTAGCATTTGTTTTAAAAAATAACTAGTACATTGTACCTCTACATATATTCTGAGTTATATTGCAGCACAAAACCAAAAAAAACTGAGGTGAAAATCCAAAGTAAGGTTGACAGGTAAATGGTACAAATCCAAAAAGGGCAAAATTAGATTCAGAAGTTTCCACAAAAACTTTTGATGTTTCTAATGTCTGAAGTTTAAAAGGAGAGAAAAATTACGGAAGAGTCCGCAGAGGTAACATTTAATCAAACCAATGAAGGTAATTGGAAGAAGGAAAGGAGATGAATAAGCAGCAAGAAAAGAAAAAGAACGACAGTTTGACAAGCATATTGAGAAAAGGACATCAAGAGGGTAAAACAGATGGAAAAAAGGAAAACGGAAGACGTTTTCAAGAAGGTCCAAGCATAGTGAGCTCAATTCATTTTGAAACTCTCTGGCAACAGAAAGGGGGAAAAAAACTTGTGGAAACACCAATACCCGATAGATAGCACCAAGTCAAGAGCAGAAAACCAACATCCCCAAATCTTCACCTCCACCAGCGAACACAGTCAATAAGAAAGACAATAAAAGAAGCCAAGTTGCCAAGTCTTTCAGCCTGCCTAATCATTTGTTATTTAAAGAGAATCACACTGACAAGACGACAGATACTTAGTACAACCTACAAGTGGCACCCTGCAGCCACCCTCGTTGTCATTTAGCTCTGAGAAAAATTACGATGTATAACTCGGGGGGAAAAAAAGAAGTGACGGACAATCAACGACACCCTCTAACCATCCGCTCTAGCAAGCAGCCTAAAACATAAGTCTCTTCCCACACGGTTTGACTGAACACCTTGCATTTCATGAACAAACAGAAAACAGCGTCACAAAAGAACTCCTCTGTAACAAACTTTACAAACTGGGACTCAAACCACACAGAATGAAAAAAAAACATTTCAGGACAACAGCAACCAACGCTAACGCAGCAGAGTCAAAAGGTCAGCAGGACACAAACACAGAAATCTTGAAAACAATACAACATGCACTGTACAGAACAGCGGTCACAGACTCCTTTTTTTTCCTGTGCAAAAAGCATGCAGACAGCTAACAATCATGTCCACAAACAATTTATCACTATCTGCTCCAGCTCTCACTCTAATGCTAAAGGATCTACAATCAAAACATTAACAATCAAAGGAAAAAGTCTTTTGACCTTCTCAATCCTCCGCACACGAACTGGACTCTGCTACATTCACAACCAATTTTCACCCATGTCGCGATTTTTCTGTCCAACTACAAATAGCTTGAGTGCCCACACAAACAAATCCATTAAGATTTGACTGAATTATAGCTGTTTTCAGAAAACACCCTTTGCTGCCTCAAATTGGGTGCGTAAGATTTTGGAATCCCTTGCGTACTGAGAAAGTTAATGTGAGTACAGTCACGGAACTTCAGGTCAGTCACAACAAAGACAAGACAGCCCATCCAGTCCGATCACACTCATCTCACCAGTGATTCAGGAGTTGCTATGGCAACAGACACTAACTAAACACTAAGTAAGTAGTCACGCCATCTCTGCCATAAAAGCAAATCATTGTATACAATTGCACAGTCCTCCATTTTGGAGAAGTATTAATATTTGGCAACATGTCAGTGCAGGGTGTTTGAGGAAGGATTTTGTTAGTACTGCAACTTCATGTGGATAGACGCTTGCAGAGCATTTTTATTTTCAAAACCACCTCTACCCTCTCCCTTCATTTCCAAAAAACATTTATACTGCATCTTCCACCTTTTTTCTAAATTTATTTCTGATCTCTTGAAGTCCTTTTAAAAAATTATTCCATTTCATCAGCCCCCCGCTCATTTTCAAATCAATTTCCATTTTTATACCTCTTTTTTCACCCACAACAGAGCAGCTAAAACTATTTCTACCACATGTGCAAGACAGAGACGAGAGAGGGATGTGATCACACTGCATGGGCTGAACTGGGTCCACACACAAACATCATGAAACACACGTCTACATCTACACACACGCTGTCACGGAACAGCTAATGATGGAAGCAGGCAGAGGAGAAAGAAAAGAAGGACAAGGAGGAGGAGGAGAAGGAGGAGGAGGAGGAGGTATGGGTGAGGACGGGGTGAGGACGGATGCACGAGGAAGGAAAGGCAGCCATTACCGTGAAAACAGGCATGAGCACGCACAAGAAATTGTCCAAAAATTGAGAGGAAAAAAACAAAAACAAAACCCATATGCACAAAAAAAAAAAAAGAAATTCTTTGGAGATCGGAGGACTGGCTACTCACTTCCTGAACTATGAGCTGCTGAAATATGGGGATTAGTGGGTTCATGCGGGGGATGTCGATGTGAATCTGAAATAAGAGGCAAAGAGGTGGTGAGAAAGTCCCTGCGTCGCACCCACCTGGAACAGAACATGCTGACCTGTGCAGGAGCAACTTAGGTTTAGGTTTGTTTGTTTGTTTAGTATAGGGTTTTACGGCGCTCGCAACTGCATAGGTCATATGAGCGCGCGGGACACACCTAATATTTTTCAGTTGGTAGGAAATTTGGAATTTTGCCCGGGTGGCGGCCGAAGCCTACTCTTGTCGATTTTAGACCACCAAGGGATCTTTAACGTGCGCAACTTGCACACGGGCCCTCCGAGATTTTTCGCCCTTGTCCGAGAAGGCTAGGTGTAGATCTTTCCTACCAGAAGATCAGGGGTGTGGCAGAAAGACAGCAGTTAGGAGGAGCCAAGGAGTAGCAGTAGAAAGGCTGCAGAAAGAGCCAGGAGCCCAGAGGAGGGGGCAAAGGAGGTGAGGGGGTGGGGCAGAAAGTGGAAATGAAAGCAGACAACAGAACATTGTTAGAGATCAGGAAAGGATGGGAAAGGAGACAATTTTAGAGAAGAAAATTTTTTGGTCGTTACCCGGATTCGAACCCGGGACCTTTGAATGAGAGGCCAACACCTTAACCTCTAGGCCACGAGAGCCCCCTGTGTTTAGGTTTAACAAATTAGGATGGCAATATCAGTGGGTGAAGTGACACAACTATAAATGACCAAGATATTTAAAAATCAGATTTCCCCTGTTTCTGTCCTTCTCCGAAAGGAGGGAGCAAAGTTGGTGCACAACCAAGAAAACGTCTCAAAGGTATCCTTATCCAAGAATAGTGCATTTCATCAGGAACAGAATAGGCCCAAAAAAAATACAGTCGAATCTGTCCATGATAAACAATCATTGTCAAGAAGAAAAGTAGTAACCTTAGACAGGCGGTCCTCTTAGAAAATGTTGTTATACATGCGTGTGAGTGCCTGGAGAAAAGTCCCAGTTGTTGGCAAAGCCAGTTTTGAGCAACAGGGTGAGAAGGCCAAAAAAGTTGTATGAGGTAAAAAAATTTAGTTCCAACAGAAAACACACGTTTCACCATTTCTTAATAACAAATTTATGGTTTTATAATATTTCAAATCTAAATATTTTTTATCTATTATTTTTGCAAAATGTTGTACTTCACAAAAGGTAAGAAATGAGCTACACATTGGGAAAATACAAAATGTGGTATATCTTTAAAACAACTCGAGATATTTTTTTAATTTAAAAATCAGCGTGTTCAGCATTGAATTTGCTACAAGAATATGCCCTTATTTCAATATCCAAAATTTCCGCCAACTGGGACCTTTCTCCAGGCACCCACACACACACACACACATATTAAAGAAAAAACACAAGGTGGGAAGTGGTCGTTTTGCACAGGCAGGTTCAACTGAAGTACAAATCTAGAGGAAAAGAAAGAGCAGTCCACACCAGAGCATCTACCAACCGCCTGCTTTTTACACGGTAGACAGAATAATAAGTCAGAACAATGCAACAACCACAGCAAGAGAAGAGATAAGAAAAAAATCTACTGAAAGCTCCACGTGTGCTTCACCCCAGACTCGAAGTGATCTAACAGCCCATGACAGCATGCATAACAAATATTTCAGGGTGTGGTGAAAGACAAAAGAGAAAGAAGGGAAATCTCAGAACATTTCCCAGAGAGAGAGAGAGAGAGAGAGAGGGGGGGGGAGGGAGGGAAGAAGAGTAAGGACGAGAGAAAGAAAAAGAGAGAGAAAGAGAGAGATAGAGAGAGAGAGAGAGAAAGAGAGAGAGAGATATATATAAAGAGACAGACAGACAGAAAGACAGACAGACAGACAGACAGACAGACAGACAGACAGACAGACTGACCAACAGACAGACTGACCGACAGACAGACAGACAAAGTAAAGAGAGAAAAAGAGAGAAAGAAAGAAGGAGAGAACAAGAAGGATGGAGTTGAAGAGAGAAGGAGCCAGTTGAAGAGAGAAAGAGGGAAAGAGAGGCAGACATGAAAAGAGAGAGTCTACATTATTGCTATTGCGTACGCCCTGACCAAAGTTCTCATAGCGAAACCAATAGTTTGCCACTGTCATTCTGAAACTAAACAGATGGAGAACACCACACCACAGCTCAGGCCTGCAGAAATCTTAAGATTAGGCAAGCTCAATTCTAAAAAAAAATCTTACACAGTTCTGGCACAAATGCAAATGTCCCATCTTCTGCTTTAAAAAATCCCAAAAAATGAAGAACTGTGCTGAACAAAGAGGAAAAGAATTAGAATGGGTAGCACAGGTCAAAATAACTTATGAGAATTTTCTACTTGAATTTGATTAACAGTTGAAAAACAAGCAACACAGTCCATTTTTTCCCCACTGTAGGATGAAAAAAAATAATGACAATATGTTCTCATCGTTGAAGATAATATAAAGTATTGGTATAATAAGTCAGAACAAATCCCAGTTTCATAACAAAATATATTCTCTAATGCAGAATCTGAGAGTGGGGGTGGGGAAAACTGTATGGGCATAGAGTGGAGTCTGCTTCAACCAAAATCTGTGTGAGTGTGGCTGCCATATATTTTCTTCAGTTTAGCCCCGTTTTTAGTTTCGAGAGAGATTGCACAAACATAATTTTTAAAACATTGGGGATTTCCCTTTCTTTTGGTTTTCCACTGTGTTCGGATTAACCGTGTTCAGTTTAAACAAATTCCACTGTACGTGAGAAAAGGTAGGGGAAGGGGGGGGAGGAGGAGGGATAAAGATGATGTCTTAAATATGGTGTTGCAAAAGGTACTGTTCTTTAAAAAAAAAACCTACAATCTGAGACCACATTATTACGTAGACAAACTTTCACTACATAACATAAATACCATTTAATGCATGAGGTCTCCATCCAGAAGCCAAGTGGTTATTGAACTGAAGTTCACTAAAATGTCAGCAGGGTTCCTGCCACGAACTCTCCACCAAATTCAAGGAGATTTCAAGAGGGCTTCAAGGAGAATTTTTTTAAATTCAAGGAGACTTGGTCAAGAAATTCAAGCCGAAAGTCTATTTCCCAAAGGCCTACACTTGTCCGTATGGAATAGTAGTTTCGATTTTCCGACAAAAATGTTGTTCATGTCTGATCCGGCCAAATTCCAGGAGTTTTCAAGGAGGCTCCCAAAATTCAAGGAGATTGTACCTTGCATGCCAAATGCAAGGAGTTTTCAAGGATGTTCCTAAAAATCAAAGAGATTTCAAGGAGATTTTACCTTGAATGCAAATTCAAGGAGTGTTCAAGGACTCCTTTAAGTCAAGGAGGCTGCAGGTACCCTGTGTGGTGGTGGTGGACATTGCGTATAACCCTAGCTCAAAAGTAGGCAGCTACACAACAGCCACCAGCAAATATACGAGTTGATTGTCTGTATTGGTGAAAATGGTGAAATGGTATAGGTTTTTTAAAGTTTTAGTTAGTATTTCACGGCACCAGCAACACAATAAGGTCATATAAGTGCTGAAGATTGGAGGTGTTACAAGAGAGTAACAAACACAAAAAAGAAGGAGGGGAGATAAAGGCGATAGACGTTTGATAGGAAAGAAGAAGCAAACCACACCAGAGCACCTGCCAACCACCCACAATGGTATAGATTTAACGCCCCTATCAACACTATTACGTTATTAAGAGATAGGACCTCCGAGTTTAATGTCCATCTCCGAAAGGACCGAGCCAGACGCGAAATACGTGTAAAGTGCCTTTCCCAAGGACACAACATCGGACTGAGCTGAGACTCGAACCCTTGTACTCACAATCTCACGATTACGAGTCCGGTAGCGTAACCACTAGGCCACCGACACCTCTGTAATGGTGTGAATTTGAATACATGACACATATAAATTAATGCATTTAAGTATGCATGTATGTACGCATGACATCAAAAACCAAATTCTCCCACAGGACTCTGTATCAGTGTGAAAATGGGGAAATACTGTATGTTTAACGCCCATATAAACACTAATAGCAGTATCAGTGTATTTTACTTTCATTTATATGTACAACCACCTCACACCCCCACCCCCCCACCCCCACCCCAACTTGATGATATGGTTTGTTTGAGTAAAAGGGGCAGCACATAATAAAGCAGTAGCAATTTTTTTCTTCTTTACGGTGGGGGGGAAGACAGAAGTTGGACATAACAGCAAAAAATCTAGACGAAAGGCATAAAAAATCAAACAACAAATTCATAAGTTGGACCATTCTGTAAAACTCCAAAAATCATCCACAGGACAAAATGAAAACTGAAAAAAAAACCAAAAAACAAACAAACACATACAAAACTTATCAACAACAAAATTCCCAGTTTAAAGAGGACAAAAAGCACAAAATTTTATGAATGTATATAAGCTTAAAAATGGCTTATATGACTACAACAAATAATATTGTTACATCTTTACATTTCTATCCAACTTTTTAAATTCAGAGCATTAAATTTAAATTCCACAACCAAATATCGCTGCCGTCACAACATAATGAGTAACTTTGCTCAACTCTGCTCAATAGGGGTGGTGGGATGGGGTGTGTGTGTGTGTGTGTGTGTGTGTGTGCGTGTGTGTGTGTGTGCGTGTGTGTGCGTGTGTGTGTGTGTGTGTGTGTGTGTGTGTGTGTGCGTGTGTGTGTGTGCGTGTGTGTGTGTGTAAAAAAGTTGCTCATTTTCCTTGCAACAGCAATGATAAACTGTGAGCTCTTAAACAACACAACATGGCAAGAAAATAAACCTAACCATCAACTCTTCTTAATCAAATAATTTGCAACACTGTCTTTTCTGACAATTTAAAGAGACTGATGAAACACTTACAATAATAAACTAAAGACTAAGATGGTGTATAAAAAAGTAACAAGAAATTTGATCTCTTCATTCACTCAGCCATATGAACAGACATACTTTTGCCCAATACACAAAACCCACTAGAAGATGTAGCACTTTGCAGTCACACTGCCAGCAGTATAAAAATATCCCATCTGGTCACCCAGCCAGGAGAGTGACCACAACAGACTTCTCAGGCCTGTCGCCGAACTGTATCAAATGACCAGAACAGATAACTTTCACTGTCGCATTATTACGGCAAGTGACCGCAAAGTGTTAATGTCCAGAGGCAGCTATGGCAAGTCAACCCCGTAACAGACACATCTCACAAGGCGCAGATAAGGACTGTAAAAACATTGCAAAGAAGTAGAAAAGGACTGTAGCAACGTTGAAAAGAAGTAGAACAGATTAGGACAGAGCGATACTGAAACGGAGAAGTAGAAGAAGGAGATGGAGAAGGCCCAGCCAGAAGGCCAACTGCTATTGACGCATCCCATAGTAAGGCGACACCTCTGAATACAGGACCGCGGCCATACCTGTCTGAAGGTTTCCTCGTGCTGGTCTTGATACCTCGTTTCGTAATACTGATCTATATAGCTGAAGTATTCCTTGCGTTTGCGTTCTAGAGTCTCCTGCCTTCTGTCTGCTGCTGTGGGGAGGTAACCCTGACAACAGAAATGAAAGAAAAAAAAATGTTCCAAATAACATCAAAATTTTTCAAGAGCAACTGCTTCATAAATCAGGCATTGAATAAAAGTTTTACTTTCCAAAGAACTAGTCCTTAAAATATGAGTTGTACATTTTTTTTGAAAAACAGTACTCACAGAGAGAATTTTCCATGCAGTTGGACGGACGGATTTAGGAATCCCTGACCAGCAGAGTTTACGAAGTTCCGCTGAAAAGGCAAAAACGAGTGGACATTTCATAAATGGGCTATAAAATCTTGCAATATTATCCTTAAATGTAACACACTTCTGAGTTTGTTTGTTTCACTAAAGAAAAGAACATCAATACAATAATTTTCACTTAGTGCTGGGAAAAAGTAAGACCAACAGATAAAAATAAGAGAGAGAAAATAACGAAGCGGGACCAGCCAGTAGAACCCCCCAACCACCCACACACACTTAAAAAACGTCTTAGATACTCATATAAAGAATATGTAAAAACCAAATCCTGAAAGGAAGAAAAATGACAGTGTGAACAGCTTATTAGCAGTCTGTGAGACTACCAGTATCAACATTTAGCTACAGTACTCAGTCAGGCATAAGCCCATTAGAAAATTGAAGTCATAATATTCCTTTGACAGACATTATTTATTCTGGTCCTTTCAAGGGCAGTCATCATGTGAGGTGTGCTGACAACATTGAGTTACTTCATGCAATCCAACAATGGAGATATCGGCCGAAAATGGACACTTGGGTCAGATTTATAGATTTTTTATGGAAGCCCTTTTGTTCACCGTGTTTTTTTATTATTCCATACTTACAAATTGTACAAACTCCACATACAAAGTTGATGTATTAATTTCTTTACGGCTAAAATCCGACAAGTAACTAATTTTGTGAGCACACCTCATATATACAGTCGAACCTTTTCTAATGACCACCTGTCCAAGAGAAAGAACCACTTTCACTTTCCCCCTTGTGTTTTTTCACTATTAAATGATACTGTCCAAGAGGCCTGCCTGTCTTAGACGACCACTTTTCTTTTTGACATTGGGTGGTCGTCTTTCACATGCTCGACTGGTATTACTAAAACAAGTAACTGTGCACACACTCTCTTTCCCTTCTCCACCATGAATCCTGCCTCTTAAACAACCCAACACTACTAACAGTGTTGATAGGGGGCGTTAAACGTATACAATTTCTCCTTTCTCTCCATCATGAATCAATTGAATACTAACTCAGGTCTAACGATGGCTCGGTGAAAACTGCTTTGAATTTCTCCATGCGGGCTGCCTCGCGGTCGGGAGTCTTGTTTGTGACGTATCGTATAGAGGTCATCTTGGGGGGCTGGTAGCCCCCACTGTTGAGTCTCACCCCGAGGCCTGGCCCGCTCGGGTGGTGGTGAGGAGGGGAGGGTTGAGTGGGGGGATGGGACTGCTGCTGCGCTGACGAGGAGCTTTCATCTGCCTCGCGGGAAGAGACCATAAACACGAAACATGTCAAAAAAGAGCAATGTGTTTTAGTAAAATTCTACGGCATTTGCAACACAATTGGGTCCTGTAAGTATCAAAGATTTGAGGTGTTACAAGAGAGTATCAAACACAAAAAAGAAAAAGGAAAGAGGACGATAGATGTTTGATGGGAATGAAGGAGCAAACCATACCAGAGCATCCGCCAACCACCCACGAGCAATATATGCTTACATGTATTTAACAAGCAGCTTACTAAACACAGAATGGTAATTTTACAGGAATAGCACTTGGCTCTGTGATTTAAATAAAGAAGAAGATAAAAAAATTTAAAAAACGACAAAGACAACAGAACAGAGCAAATATCCCAAATGCACCGTAAAACATAAACATTCTTGAGAACAATTAAACGTGTCGCACCACCTACTTGGGGGGAGTGAAATAAAATACCCGTTTTTGGACTAGAGATTATCGACAAAAAATACAGGATGTTATTCACCAGACATACAATACTGAAAATGAACATAAATAAAAAACAGGATATATGACAGTGAAAAAACATTTACACAAAAATACCACAACACACATCTCAAAAAACATGTTAGTAGTTTACAGTGAACAAACACCACATAACTTCTGCTCATTATACCACAGTACCACACCCTTTTTGAAGAGGGGGAAAAAAAAAATCCAGACACCTTTCCGTATCTGTTCATTTCTAAAGAACGCATTACAGGCAAGCTGTCTACATATACATCTAAAAACGGCCAATATGGGACACAAACCTAAACTGGAATGATACAGAGAAGATTGGCATGGCTCCTGCGCAAGGACATTCAAATTCCTGAAGCGTTCCATACTTTTTAATATCCAACGAGCTTATAACTAGCACGATCAGCAAGTCAACCGTTATGGATCCTGGAGAGGGGAGAGGGGCAGCTAAGGCATTGTACCGCCTGCAATGATACACATTCTCCAACCAAGTAAGTAAGCACATCTACAAATGGCTCACCTGTATGTACAGAGTTCGCAGATGAAGATCCCCTCACAGGATGTTGCTGCTGCTGGGAATTTGCTCTCTTGCTATGATTGTCTAGGACCACCTTGGCCGACGTCTGCACATCTCGTAGCGACATCTTGAGACTGGCCATCTGAATGAGGTCATCGTCGCCATCGTCCCAGGCATCAGAGGTCTTGTTCTCAAAATCGTGGAACGGGTCTCGTTTACCGCTCTTTCCCTTGTCATCTTTCTTCACTGGCCAACCAGGTCTGCAAAAGTACAAGACCATGACAATTTGACTAAAATTCAAGGGATGCCAAAATGCAGAAAGAAAAAGTATCAGGAAAGTTTCAAAACTAAAAATGTAGTACCCCCTTCTTCTACCCCCCCCCCCTCCCCCAGACACACCACTGAACAACTCACACATTAATTTTAATTATTCCAAACTCAATTTTTTTGCAGCATACAAGTGGCACTTCTTGTGGAGCCAGTCCATTCTGAAAATAGAAAGTTATAACTTGCAGCAAAGCCTTAATTTCTGATACACAATGTGATGTAGATAAATGCTCGGAAAGAAAAACTGAAATTCCTGAGAATGAGAACAGGACATAAGCTTTAGAGTGTAAGTGCTTGAATATAACAATATGAAGTGGCAACAGAGAAAAGCCATTGTGGTGTTGGGATCGATTGAAACTTACGACGTGATGTCAGTTTGTGGAGGAGGATGCTGAGCCCCATACACTGGTTTGATACTGAAAAATAAGCAGACTACAATTAGAAGTTATAAGTAACTATCAGTCACAATTTTCTTCTCTAAAAGAAAATGTAATTAATCATCTGGACTGGCACCAAAATAATCAGTTCACATTTCAAACCTTGACTTAATAGCTTAATATAATAATTCAAGGATCTTGTACCAAAAACCCAAAAGTGAAAAAAAAAACACATTCAAATAAACAACTGCATATAGTCCTTGATAGAATTCCTGAACCAATTTCAGTTGAATTTTAGGCTGATGAGAGTCCCTTTGAATCGAAAGTCCAAATAAATTTTCATCTTTTTGTACCTTTATTGCAACACAAAAATTAAGAAAGTTCTATTTTTAAATGCTTTTATAAATCAATGCTAGTCATTTTTACAACAAGCCCCATAAATTTCTTTGAATGCACAATAACAATAATAAAGGAGAATCTTGGGTTAATTTTTACTTTCACTCCCACACACAGCTGCACTGCTTTGGGGATCAAACTGCAGTATATTTTTGGCTGCAGACAAAATAAAAGAGCCAGAGAGTCAAATGAAATTCTCCGGCCAGACACAACCCAAATGAGCCAAATTTCTGGGATTTGGCTCCAAACTAACAACCCTGACTGTGACTATTCGGACACGAACAGTGACGAACATGTTGCTGTGGAGCATTAGCCCTGACCCCCCCCCCCCAACCTTGGGTCATGCCCGCTAACCTCAGCCCTGATCACTTTAGGGTCATTTCCGGTAAAACGAGGGGGTGAGAATAGCGAGACATGCTTGGGGTAAGAATAATCACTTCCTAAAAAAATCTGGGGGGTTACAGGGGGGCATGCACCCGTTTCAACTCATAATTTGATATTTTTGCAATTAGGTTTGAAATTTTCTTGAAAATAATTAATTGTGAAAGTTTTAGTGGCTTTATGAGTGATCTGCAGCAAACATAACTGCAGTTTGACCCCCCAAAGCAGTACATCTGTGAGTGGAAGTGAAAGTAAAAATTTACCATCCCCCCATCACCACTTTCTTTAGACCGCCTCTATTCTCACCCCGGGTGAGCCTTTTGGCTATTCTCACCCGGTGTGCGTTCACCGTGATAGGCCAACCAGTGTAGGGTTCACCGTGAACCACTGAACAAACGTCCCAGCGCTCTTGATTTGAAACAATGCAATTTTGTCTGCGAGCAGTGAGAGAGAAAGAGAGAGAAGAAGAGTGGCGAGAACTTCCAGGCAAAACAAAATGGAGACCTGTGTAGTTCGACTCAATTTGAAAAGTGACATAGCCATAGCACATAGCATCTTTGTAGACAACCAAATTAATTTACTTTTGTGCTCACTATAACATCATTTTTTTCTTTGTTTTTGTCAATTTGGTTGTCAACACCGATAGACGGTCTGCAGAAAGAGAGAGAGAGATAGAAAGAGAGTGAGAGAGGAGGAGTAGGCCTAGCGAGAACTTCCAGGCAAAAACAAAATGGCGACATGCGTAATTCGGCTCGATTCGTGAAATGAAATAGCCATAGCATCTTTGTAGACAACCAATTTAGTTTACTGTTGTTGAGCTATAACATCATTTTTTTTCTTTGTCTTTGTCAATTTGATCATCCACACCGATGGAGAGTATTCAGAAGTTAGGAAAAACAAGTCTTGTTTCACAGCGGGTGAGAATAGCCAACGCTGGCAAGTCTCACCCGGGGTGGGAGGTCGATCGTATTTTTTTATTCTCATTCGGGGTGAGAGGTCGATCATATCTTTTGGTTCTCACCCAAGGTGAGAATAGCCACTTCCCTTTCTTTACTGAACTGGCAACAGTAAGCTGGGTAACACAAAAAAAAACTAAATCTAGATCTAGATCTATCAGTTCTGATGACTGTGTTGGGCGCGATCTGTCGATTTGCGCGATTCATCGACCGCGCAGCGCATTTGGTTGATCGAGGAAACGCGCAACAATCCATCGATTGTTGCGCATTCTATAGATCTTACCCCTGAATTTTGTGATGTTTTGATGTCGTCCAGTGTGTAATTTAGTTTCACTCTCCAAAGTCAAACTGAAACTGAATGGGGAAGAAACTGGAAGTCAGGGTTACAATAACGAACTAATCGAAGTGACAATTCGAGTCCGAATAGACAAAAATTATATTCGGTGATTTGAATCCAGTATGATGTCCGTTCTGACTTCCGACCCTTGTTTCTAAATATTTCCAGCATTTATTAACAATTTTTTTCGATTATATCGATAACAATTGAGACGTGAGCTTTAATATCCAGTTACTAGTAGGTAGCGTAAACACGGCCTCGCAGGCACTCGCGGCCTTCCGACCGCGTGGTATCGGTGAAATCGAGGTAATTCCGATCGCTGTTTCTTTGCTCTTTCGCTATAAAACACCAAGTGCCGTACACCTTGTAAAAGTTCAGCTTTTCTTCGTTACAAAGGTGTAAGTTGTTTTTATGTCCGATTAGTAGGAGCTGGAGAATCGCCGACGAAAGCGAAGCCCCTCACGGTCGGAATGCGTGGTCGGCCGGTTAAAAAATTGACACGGGTGCATTCAGATGCTTCGCGGAACGAGGAATGATTAAATACCGTCTTTTCATTGGCAGAGAACTGTAGAGCTTTAAACGGGCTTTCCCGTGGTATGTGTTTTGCTTTTGGCGTCTAAATAGAAAGCTTTTAAAAATACTGTCAAAATGTTTAAAGATCACTTTTTACCCATAATATGTAAAATACCGGCTTAAAAAATATATCTAATAAAAGATCAGTTTATTTTCTATTAGAATAAAGTAATCAGCTTGGAATTATTTTTTATCAATCCTTCCGCGAGACTCAAAAAGCATGTGACCCCGCACGCGGGGTAGACTACAGTATAGAGCCGACTCGCTCGCTACGGGCCCGGTGCGGCGCCGGCCGGGTCAACGTTCTGACTGTGTTTTTATCGAAATAACGACAGATCATCGTGTTTGAGGCGATAAAGTACTGATTTGTAATGATCTCACAGTCTTGAAAAAAATTAGGCTCCATATATTTGTTATAGTGATTGCACTCTGTTAATGTGGAGATGTTTAGTGCTCTTGTTACTCTTTTATTGTCTGTCAAACATGGGGTTGCAGCCAGTGACTGACTTTAACAAATTTGATCAAATTTTAAACAACTACCATTTTCTTAAAAATTGACTGAGAGGTTAAAGAATGGTACCAAAATGCTCAGTGGATATAGGCCTTTCAAATGGAACTGATAAATTTGGCATACAACTACTTTGAAAATTTAGTTTCTGGTACCTATTACTAGATCTATCTAAACTGGCCCTCCCTGCGTCGATCGTCATTAGTATGAACAAAACTAAGTTGAGCTGACCTTGCCGGGGGCAAAGTTAATTGTTTCGACCAATGAGTCTGCGCGTAGCGATCACACTCTCGGCTCATGGGGGAAGAGGTGTTGGGAAGGGGCCATGGCTGTCGGTTTTGTGCTATGTGATTTTTTTTTTAAATTACAGAAAAACTCAATACTCAACAAAATCAAATTAAACATGTGGAAAGACAAATGGTGGTGGAAGTAATGATGATGCTGTAGTGGTGGTGGAAAGACCCTGAGTTGTCGGTTAGCGTGTACTTAGACACTGTTATTGGGTAGATCTAATCGAGAACGGGGAAGAAGAAGAAGAAAAGTAGATCTAATGAGAGTGCAATCAGGGTTAGGCCTATACTTATAGGTCGGTGAGTATCACTCCGAACACTTATTCAATATGGAGAGGTTGGTTGTGCTCGAGGTGCTCTTGTTCAAGGAAACAATAAAGAAAACAATACTTGTATAATAAATGTTTAATCAACACCCAACAATTTATCACAAGCCATTAAATCTTGACCGTATTTGGAATACCACGTGAAGTACGCAGCCAATCACATCCGTCCAAATACTGAGTGCAAGTGTTCGATTTAACGTCGTGTCAATTTATCTGCCTCACTCAACCGTCAACACTTAAAATTCATCACACAACTCTTCTTGGATGCTCAAACTCAAAGACTGACGTGCTCAGTAAACCAATTTTCTTGGTCTTTTTATGGGAGTGTATACAGACCCGGTAACCGGGAACAAAGTCACAAAGTATACAGAGGAACTCTTTAGTGATTTCGGAAAGTTTCAGCGCCCACTTGGCTCAGGGTAGACCTAGGTTCTTCTTGATCTATGGTCTAGGTCTAGATCTAGATCTAGACAGACATAAATCATTGATCTAGTTTCGAGGTTAGCCTAGCTAGATCTAAATGAAGATTGCGGATGTCTTTTCGATGAACGATCGTTTTTCCTGCATTTTTGGAGTTGGAGGAATCACAATTTGAAGAAAAGAACAATGTCATAATTTCAATCGAGCAGTCATCCTCTCTCTCTCTCTCTGTCTCTCTCTCTCCTCTGTATATCGCTCGCATTCTCTTTTTCTTTGTTTGTCTCTGTCTTTCTTTCTCCACACCTATTTAATTTCCCACTCTATCTTTCTCTCGTTCCCTCCTGTCAACTGGGGCATGTCATACATTTAGCTAGCACTTCCCCCTGCTCTCTCTCTTGCTCTCTCACACATACACCCCCACACACACGGGTCTGGGCGCTGAAACGTTCCGACAATACAAAAGAGTTCCCCTACCGGGTCTGTATACTTCGTATCTTTGTTCCCGGTTACCGGGTCTGTATACACTTCGTTTTTTTATTCACCTCATCATCATAGTATATCGACAGAATGCGCAGTAAGTAGGCCTATATATTTCATGGATCGACAATAAGCACAGCGTGATCCGCCGATCAACAGAATGCGCGACAATCGATGGATTGTCGCGCATTTCCTCGATCAACCAAATGCGCTGCGCGGTCGATGGATCGCGCAAATCGAAAGATTGCGCCCAACAACTGCATTACTTCGTTAAAAACATGTTTTTAAGGCCAGCAACTCAATTAGATCTAGAATATAGATTTAGATCTAGACATTCAGTAGCTGAGGCTGAGGAGGCTAGGGGAGGGACCCAAGGCTGTGGACACTGGTTAGGCACTTGGATAAAAATTTCAAAGCTTTCAAATTGCTTTAATTGACTGGTGGTGGTGAAGAGGGAAATGAGTGGTGACGGGACCCTTCCCTGTGCTATGATGATGAGGGGCTTATCCACATAATTAGAATGGACTTCAGGTGGGTGGAAATGTATTAGTTAATGGGAGTTCAAGGACATGTGTAACAATTACTCAACACGTTTACAATTTAAAGGGCTTACAACCTGTCTAACGAGTCGGGTCGACTACACACGACATTACACACACACACAGCCACAATTAGGACGCACCTTCCGGGAACACTGGTGTTCTTTTTCCAAAACCCAGCCTTGCTCTCTCTAGCTGACCCTGAGCTCAGAGATGCCATTGGCACTATATGGACAATCAATTTTCTAAAACATTTCAGTTTACAATCTAAAGGCCATAGTTTGCAGAGATACAATTATTCGTAACTTTGATGCGAGGTGTCATTTATTTGTTGTCAACATGGCCGGTACCTTGCTGCGCATGAGCAATGACTTTTGACCTATTATCTCTGTTTTCAGCTGACAGTTTTATAATTAAGTAAACGTTACTCTATTCGTCCAGTCTGATAGCCTAATATATTGCCCTTATGGTCAGTGTAATGAAACTTTATCTTAATTCTTTTTCATAAGTCACTCCTTTTTTTTTTAAATGAGCTGTTGAAAGGATGATAAAGGATGGCGTATTGTTCGAAATGATCAAATGACGGGATAAATAAAATCAAGCATACAGCAACAAAATGTGATTAGCTTGAAAGACGCAAAACGAAAGAACGAACTCTTCTTACTGGTTCCTTTGATTGACTGAGGAAACGCAAGACGCACGTCCATCTGCCGAATCTGACAATAATGTACGATCTCGCACAGTGATGTTTGCGGTGCTTTTCATTGATGTTTGTGACGTGACAGAAGCAAATAATCACGAAAAATGTCTGTAGCTCATCGTTTAAAGGAAAAAGAACGCACCCATGATGTACTTATTACAGAGTCCGTTGACTTCGCGGGACTTCTGTTATCGAAGCCCGTGCTGGAAGGACTCAACAATGCCGGGTTTGAAATGCCCTCTCCTATACAACTAAAAGCCATTCCGCTTGGACGTTGTGGCTTAGGTAAGAAGGGCCTGTTCATTTTGAGGCTGGATGAAGGGGTGCTGTGCTTTTCTACTTCTATGACAGGTTATGGATATGGGAGTGAGAGGGGGGGGGGCTCTCATCCTGGCCTAGAGGTGGTGTTCGCCTCTCACTCTCATGCCCATGCAACAGGAATAGATCCCGGATTCGAATCCAGCCAGATAGACTCTAGCCACCGAAAATGTTCTTCTCTAAAATGTTCTTCTTTAGGTCTACATCATTTCCTGCTCTCTAACAATATTCTGTGGTCTGCTTTCATCTCCACTTTCTGCCCCCACCCCCTCACGGTGCCTCACCTTCTTTGCCCCCACCACCTCACGGCTCACGGTGCCTCACCTTCTTTGCCCCCCACCTCTGCGCCCCTGACTCTTTCTGCAGCCTTTCTACTGCTACTTCATGGCTCCTTCTTACTGCTGTCTTTCAGCCACACCCCTGATCTTGTGGTAGGAAAGATCTACACCTACACCTAGTGTTTTCGGACAAGGGGAAAAAATCTTGGAGGTCCCGCGTGCAAGTCCAGTTGCACACATCATCGACACATGTTAAAGATCCCATGGTGGTCCAAAAGTCGATAAGACTTTTCTAATAATAAGACAAGAGTAGCTTTCGGTGCCTCCCGGGCAAAATTCAAAATTTTATACCAACTGAAAAAGTTGAATGTGGCACGTTCATATGACCTATGCAGTTGAGAGTACCGTAATAAAACACTTACCAAAAAGTGCCAAAAGAAAAGAAAAAAAGGCGGGAATGATCAGAGTAAAAAATGTAGTGCATGCAATGCTTCACTTCATCATAAACTTTATCATATTAAAGTAAGTAGGCAAGTACTTAAATTTTTTTAAATGCCTGCCAGGTGTAGTGGAACCTGCTCTAACTGTCTAACAACCGTAACAACGGCCACATATTCTATTTAATTCATTGCATCTTTTTCTTCTTTGCTAGATCTCATGGGTTGTCAACTGCGGGGCAACTATCAGTGGGTGGTCGTCCTGGATAGTTTGGACCGTATTTTAGGGGAGGACTTCAAATGCGACCACTATGACTACACAGAGTAGCCTTTAATAGAGGGGTAGAGATAGGGTTAGCCAGGTCTCTTCTTTATTTTGTTTGTTGGGGTGGTCACTCATTTCGGATGTCCTTCCGTATTAATGTGTGTATTTTATTTTGACATCTTTTTTCTGTTGCTGGATACGTCCATGGCATTGCTTTGAAGCAGGCTTTTATTACTTATTTTGAAAATGTAGTAGATCTTGATAGACTAAAAGAGGGAAATTCTTAACGATCTGCCCTGTATGGGAGGCAAATATGTTTGGCTGTTAGTACTCTGTATTAATAGTATATATATATCTATACTGATGGAGGGATATTACTTTTTAGATCACCGGCTGGGAAATGTGTGCAGGCCTACAATTTGTATTCAAATCAATGGTCCCCCTCACCAGCCCTGGGGGCTCTCGTAATCTAGAAGTTGCGATGTTCGCCTCTCATTCAATAGGTCCCAGGTTCAAAACCTGACAGCGATGGAAAATTTTCTCCTTTCACCTCTTTTCCTGTTCTCTAGTCATGTTCAGTCTTCTGCTTTCGCTTCCACTTTCTGCCACTCTTCTGGGCTTCTGACTCTTTCTGCAGCCTTTTTACTGCTATTCTTTGGCTCCTTCTTACTGCTGTCTTTCAGCCACACACCTATCTTAAGGTAGGTAAGATTTAAAACCTAGCCTTCTCGGATAAGGGCAAAAAATCTCGGAGATCCCGTGTGCAAGCTGCTCACCTTAATGATCCTTTGGTGGTCTAAAATATAGGCTAAGGCCACCACCCACCAGGCAAAATTCAAAATTAATTCCCAAACTGAAAATATTTAGTGTGTCCTGCGTGTTCATATGACCTTATGCGGTTGCGAGCGCCGTAAAACACTTACCAAAACAAAACAAAAAAACACCAGCCCTGCTCCTGGCTGCAGGTCTCCCAATCACCTTTCTCCATTGCTCTCTCATAAAGAAAATGAATGGTACAACAGTTAAAAGTAATTATGGACATGCATGGACAGAATATCTTGGCCAAAAACTTACTAAAGTAGCCTAATTATATGTCCCCTGTAAAATGAGAACAACTCTCCTCTTTTTTGAAGGTATATTGGTGAGTCCTTAGTTCAAGTTCTGCTGTGCACGTGGATTAGTACTGGGTAAACCTAATTTACAGATTAAGCTTTATATTGTTTTATTTTTGCTTGCTTATCAAGTTCATGCATTGCATTTTTATGATCCTGCAAGTGCCATAAAACTTACTAAAACCACACAAAAATTTACAATCCCTACAGACCTAATTGTTCAGGCGAAGTCTGGTACTGGAAAGACCTGTGTGTTCACAGTTGTTGCCTTGGAGAGTATAGACTCGACTACAGCTTGTGTACAGGTAAGAGGTGTCAGCTAGTGTACAGGAAAAAATGTTGGCAGTTGGTGATAATGGAGACTTCTTACAACACTTTCCCTGTTTATAATGAACCGTTTAATTACAGTGTTGATATAAATTGCTAATTATTCATGAGTGTACTATAGAACCAGTAGTGATGTTTTCTTCCAATATTCAGTATTCCCTAAGTAAACCCTACAGCTTCCTGAATGCTCTTTCACAGACAATTCATGTTTTAATGACAACCTGAGTTCCATTTATGATAAACCTTTGTTGTAATGTAAGTGATTCTTTGTTCAAGCTTTTATTCTATCTTTAAATCTGCAATTTATTATGCAGGGTAAAATAAGCTTTTTCGTAGTTTGTTGATATTGTTTGCTCAATACATTCAGGAATTTAAAACCATGCTATTGTTTTTAATTCTCCAATTTGACCTTTGGATAAGACTAAGAATATTCATATATATATATTCATATATATATATATATATATATATATATATATATCAAGGAGTTTAGAACTAATGGAGCCTCCTCTCTCTCTTCGCGGCGCCACGAGCAGTACGCCGCGGTGGGGATCAAATATGGCCGCCGAGTGTGGGCTAAATCTCGAACTGTGGCGTTTCTTTTTATAGAATCTTACCGGGCTGGGCCACGTTGTGGGGGTGGGGAAATGCACGAAAGGAAGAGGGGATGGGGCAGGGATGAAAGAGGAGGGGCGGGCCTTGGGAAGGGACGAAGGAGAATGGGAAAAATCAAATAAAAGAGAGAAAGAGAAGGAGAGAGAGAGACAGACAGACAGAGAGAAGAGAGAGAGAGAGAGATTGTGATCAACTGACGGATAATGACAGGGAGAAAGAAAAATTATGTGTGTGATACGGACTGTTCAATTCTTTCAGAGTTTTATGTTATAATCTAGTTTAAAAATAAAAAAAAGATGTGTAAAATAAGAAGTAAACTTGTCCAAGTAACATAAAATTATCAAACATACCAAATTATAAAGATAATCTTTCAATATGCTAAAATATTTAAGTATTAGAAATGGATAAAAATATACTTTAAAACTGAATTTAAGATATTATGATTGCTTGATTCTAGGCGTGTGCCATAACTAACTTTATGAGTAAGGAATAGCGAACACAACAGAGGGTCAATGCCAGCTTTTTCTGATTGCTAACAGTATGTCTTGGTCTATAAATAATAACATTATTGATTACAATAATTTTGTTTCCTGGTTTTCACAAAGTGGACCGCACAATGATTTCAAATATTTTTTTTAAAAAGAGATAACAGCACCTTTGGAGGTGTGATCGCATGCATGAGCGTGGCTGACCTTTGAAGGTTTTTTTTGTTTTGTTCAGTAAAGTATGATATGGAGAGCAGCGTTTTTAGTCCCTTATTACACTCCGGGGGGGGGGGGGGGGGGGGGGAGATAATTTATCTTAGTGATGACTCTTGTATATTAAAATTTGTTGTTGCTTTGTTTGGTTTATTTTTTAACAGCAGAATCTTAACTGAACCGGAAGTATTGATTGTGGGATCTTAGGTGAAGACTACAACAATAGAATTAAACCGAGTATAGTTCTATCTAACAAGACTCAAACTCTTATCCACCCCACCCTACCCTCTCCCCTCATCTGATATGGTTTGATGTTTCTTTAACATAGAAAATATTCATCATTATTGTTGTTGAGTATTGATTTCCTGTTCTAATGGAGCCTCTAGATATCTACATTTAGACAACAGTAGCATCTAATTTGCACACACAATGGAAAGCAATATAAATGTATAATATGTATACATACACACACAATAATTATATATATACACATAATAATTATATATATATATAAGAATAAGAATACTTTTTTAAAAATTGAGTATCTCGGTCTTTCTGCTGGGGTATTGTATCCCTTTCAGCCTGGGTTGGCCTTGGCAGGTAGCGCTGGAGCCAGCCTCTTTTGAATGTTAATGATCTAAATTGTGTTGCTGGGGGCATAAAAACACTTTCATTCAAATTTTTTAAAAGGAAAACAACTTAACTGTGAACACTTCGGTCCACTGCAGCATCATATCGGTTCTTACACTTAAATACAACACAGATGCAATGCATTTTTATTAATTGACTTGCCTAATCTCAAGGACCTCGGAATAAAACCTTCTTTCTTATCTAGATTTCAGTGCCTAAGTCGGGCATTCGCTCAGCGCAGGTAGACCACAGTTCCGCTATATATGTTGAACTGATATCAATCAATTGTACTTCAGATGACTGTAGTGTTGACTAATGCAGGAGTGTCAAAAAAGACAACAATCTAACTTTGAAGGTATCCAGAACTTTTATTGTCAATTATCTTTCTCTAGACACTCGTCTTGGCGCCTACCCGAGAAATTGCTCAGCAGATCCAGTCAGTTGTGAACACAATAGGCTCCACCATGGCTCAGCTCAAGTGCCATACATTTATTGGAGGCATGCCTGTCCTACAGGACAAGATTCTTGCCAAGAACTGCCACATTGCTGTTGGCACTCCAGGTAAGACAGCTGGACTGAAGTGATGGTATAATGCATAATGTTCAAGGTATGGAGTTAATGCCTCTTTCAACTGTGATATATAAGTTATTTATGTGGTGGAATGTCTGACTTTACGTCCACCTCCGATAACACCATGCCATGTGAGTGGAAAGCAATGAAAATACCCAGGTCCCTAATCCAATGTTTTGGACGAGGGTCATTGTTATCATAAAAATTTAAGATGTTACCAATGAAGTACAGGTTTCGCTCGCACAGTGTTATCGTAATGTCTTGGGAGAAAAAAGTGCTCTTTGCATGTGGCTGGTGGGGGTCTCCATCCTTAGGAAATGTGGCATCTCAATTAGAAGACTTTTTGCTGTACACTACAGTTCAACAACCCATGGTTTCAAGTTTCATTTCTGTACTTTACAAACGATAGCAGATACAACTTCGATGCTGATTTAAATATTCTTTTTTCTGCAATCCCCCCAGTTTTCGAATATTGAAAGAAATCAATTGATATCTTGAAATGGAAATAATTTTAAAATCCGAAATGAATATTGCAATGTTTTTGTGTATTACTTTGTAAAAATCAAAGTGCTTTTTGCTTTGCAGGTCGTGTGAAACAGTTGATTGAGATTGGAGCTCTGAAGACAAACAGTATTCGGCTCTTTATTCTTGATGAAGCAGATAAACTGCTAGAAGAAGGCCACTTTCAGGAGTCCATTAAGTGAGTTTTGGTTTGAGTTTCACAAATGGATACTGTATGCCATTTAAATCATGTCTTAATGTTAACCAAATGTGATTGGTAAAAAATATGAACATGTTGGACATTAAGACCCAATGGGTTTCATGAGTTTGAATTATCTCAGCAGCCTGGAAAATAAAATGTTAATAACCTAAAACAACACTATCCTCTGCCAGTAAATTTTGTATTTTTATTTGTGTGTTAGTCATTGAGTTTTGCGTGTATATGTTTGTGTGTGTGTTTTTGTTGGTAAATGGTCTCACAATATGCATTTTCTGTCATCTAGTTCATCAGGTGAGTGATAATTCTGCATTGTACAGTGCTGAGGGCCTTCTAGTGGTTAGGGGCTGTATTAATTCCCTTTATTGTTATTCTTTAGTTTGGATTCTTACATCTCTGATCGTTGTACGTTTCAGTTGGATATACTCAAGTCTACCTGAGAACAAGCAGATCCTCGCCCTGTCTGCCACTTACCCGGAGTACTTGGCTCATCACCTGACTTCCTACATGAGGAACCCGACGTTTGTCCGGCTCAACATCACAGACCCGGCCCTGATTGGTGGGTGTGGGTGGTTGGCGGGTGCTCTGATGTGGCTTGCTCCTTTTTTTCTTATCAAACATCTATCGTCCTGATCTCTCCTCCTGCTTTTTTGTGTTTGTTACTCTCTAGTAACACCTCTAATCTTTAACACTTAAATGACCGAATTGTTTTGCAAGTGCTGTGAAACTGTTACTAAAACATTCTGTTTGGTGGGTGAATTTGGGTGCATTTAGTTATCAACAATAAAAGCTGATAAGTGGGATGTGCACTAGTTTAACAAATGCAGTGAGTGAGAGAATTGAAGTGCTTGTAGCCAGTCAAAGCGAGGAGATGGATATTAGTGCATGTGTACTTGAGCCCGTGGCTCTGTGCAAAGTGACATTTGTTTGGGTAGTTGTGTTTATTTGTGATCTCTCACTCATGTTTTCATTTGCACTGTCAACCTGCTATTTGTGTCTGCTCAGAATTTCCAGCGTGGATTACACTTTTATTTAGTTTTGTCTTTAATCTTACTTTTCACTTCTCTTCCCCATCTTTTAAACCCATACAGGCATCAAGCAGTACCACGTTGTTGTCCCCAACCATCCCCTAGCCAATATTGTGTTCAAAGCCAAAACTGATGTGATCCTGAATATTCTGAACACAGTGGCTTTCCAACAGTGTCTCATTTTCTCCAACATGCAGACCCGGTAAGCTTACTTTTGTGTCTTTTGTGATACATCTGTTTATAAGAGTCTTGTTATGATAAAAAGTCTATCATAGTATTTTTTGATAAGCCCCTCATTTTGACACTTTCACAGAGATTGTGTGGGGGCTCTCGTAGTCTAGAGGTTAAGGTGTTTGCCTCTCATTCAAAGGTCCCGGGTTTGAATTTGGGTAGCGACCGAAAAATTTTCTTGTCTGAAATTGTCTCCTTTCACCTCCTTTCCTGCTCTCTAGCAATGTTCTGTTGTCTGCTTTTGTTTCCAATTTCTGCCCCCACCCCCTCACCTCCTGTGCCCCCTCCTCTGGGCTCCCAGCTCTTTCTGCAGCCTTTCTATGGTTACTCCTTGGCTCCTTACTGCTGTCTTTCAGCCACACCCTTGATCTTCTGGTTGGAAAGATCTACACCTAGCCTTCTCGGACAAGGGCGAAAAATCTTGGAGGTCTGGTGTGCAAGTTGCGCACATTAAAGATCCCTTGGTGGTCTAAAAGCGATAAACGTTGGCTTCGGCCGTCACGCGGGCAAAACTCCAAATTTCCTACCAACTGAAAATGTTTAATATGTCGTGTGCGCTCATATGACCTTATGCAGTTGCCAGCGTCGTAAAACACTGACCCCCCCCCCCCCCCCCAAAAAAAAAAGAGAGATTGTGTGTTGACGAGTGCGTGTGCATGTATTTACCATGTCACACACAGTAAATTTCTCTTTTTGGAGATCAATAAAAATCTTATCTTACGGTGCTGAGTTTGCCTGGTCCTCCTGGTATGCCCTTTGGCAAAGAGAGCTTATAATGTTGAAGAAGATGATATCTTGGGGGGGCATATTGGGCTTTTCATAATGTGTAAAAAGAAAGGGATTTCTGTTTTTGTAAGATGGGTTGACGTGTAGTTACATATAGATTTGCAGTGAAAACAGCGGTGCTAAGGTTAATGATGAAAGTGTTAATATTTTTGCTTTTGCTATAACAAAACAGTGGAAAGAGCATTGTTGTTGTTTTTTTGGATGGGGGTTATTCTTGTGTTTTGATGCCAGTTATACTTAATGTCGAAGCAGCCTGCCTCTTAGATGACATTGATTGTGTTGATTGGGATGTAAACTGCTTCCAGTCATTTTGGTGCGTCCCTCTGACTGTAATAACTGTGATGACAAACAGTTTTGAAATTGTTATTCAATTGATTCTGTAATTTAAAAATTTTAATCTGGGAAAAACCAAAGCCATGTTGTTTTTTATATTAGTTAAATTCTCTTTCTCTTTTGTCTGATGGCGCTTATATGACCGAACTGAATCAATAGTACCGTAAAACACCTACTCAAAACAAAACAAATCTTCTGTCTGGGGCTCACAGGGCACAGAATTTGCAGTCAGAGCTGGAGATGAGGAACTGGCCCACGGCCTGTATTGCTGGCTGCCTAGATCAGAAAGAAAGAACTTTTGCCATGGAGCAGCTGAAAACATACAAGTGTCGCATCCTCATCTCAACTGATCTGGTATGTGGTTCCCCTCATCTTGCTTACTCATACAATCTAAGTTTAAGAATGTCTTGAGTGGGTGGATGGCAGGTGCTCTTGTGTGGTGGGCTCCTTCTTTCCTATCAAACATCTATAATCATTATATGTCTTCCATTTTATTTTTTTGTGTTTGTTACTCTCTTGTAACGCCTCTAATCTTTGGCTCATATTATAAGACCTTGTTGTATCACAAGTGCTGTGAAACTCTTACTAAAAAAATTAGAAAATAATGTTTTTGGATGTTAACTATGGCATCTGAGCTAATGGTGCTCCCGCTTGAAGACAAGAGATTATATTCATGCTTAGGGAGAGTATTTTATTGTGTATCTCCATCATTCTGCTGAAATATTGTGTCCCATACTGCTCGGGCTGACCCTGATAGGCTGGGTAAAAGCAGCCTGCCTCCTAAATGACCTTAGTTGTGTCAATTGGGACGTAAACTGCTTCCAGTCTTTTTGGCGCATCCCTCTGACTAATAACTGCTGTCTTTGTCAACTATAGGGCGTTTGGTGGATGGATTTGTTTTCAGTTTGCTTTACAGACAGCATGCAAAATTTCAACGTCAGCATTCCTTTATTTTGGTGAATTATACAATGTCACACAAGGAAAATCAATTCCTGCTTTCGGACAACCGAAATCCCTTGTTCCCTCAAATTAAAACATCAATAAAAAGTAAAAGACTTATGCTTCTTATTTGTAAAAAAGAAAGATACTGAAGGTCATTTTTACCACCATCCATTAAACTCTTATCATCTTAATCATCTAAGTATTCCTTTGACCTTTATAGCATGTATTATCAGAATATCAATGGGTTACTATCAGAATACCGATTATGTATCTAGCTGAATACTATTATTGTTAACTATAATTGTTCATTTATAATTTAAGTGCAAGCATACTATTATATGATTAAGTGTACAGATATGTGTGTGGAAGAAAGGATATTTAAATGGATGTGGTGTGTGTGTATGAGTGGTGAAACACCAAACCAATGTGATAGCATCTGGATAATAATGATTTATTTTATCTTATATCTTATCTAATTTGAGAAATGCATGCTAGAATGTTGCAATTGTTTGTTTGTAAGATTCAGCATTCTGCTTTCTTTCTCTGTCAGACGTCAAGGGGAATAGATGCAGACAAAGTGAACCTGGTCATCAATTTAGACGTTCCCCATGACTCTGAGACGTATTTGCACAGGATAGGCAGAGCAGGACGCTTTGGTGAGTTTGTGCTGACAGTGTGTTTCAGAATTTGTACCTTTATATTAACATAATTTATTTATATAGCGCATATATCCATGCTTTGTGCTCTGAACAACTATTCTTATCCTTGCTGACCCTAGATACTCAAAAACATTCTCTGCTTCCTAAGGAACACAGTGCAAGTAGCCAAGTAAGCACTCAAACATGAACAAACTGCTAAGATCATTTGCTGTTGTTGTGAATCCTGATGTTGTAAATCAATATCTATTTCCTCTTTAAAACTTGGATGATGTTCTGTATTTGTCTTTTCATGGTAGAGAAACAATGTTAATGGAAAGAATTTCACTGGCATAGCCTGTTAATGTTTTAGCGCCTATAAATGGCTGCCTGCACTGTGTGCTTCCCAGGAAGTTGAGGCTGTTTCAGAATGCTCTTAGGTCTGCTGGGGTAATAGTATAGATTGTGAAGCGCATAAAGCTTGCTGTTGAGCGGGGATTTGCGCCATACAAATGCTCTCTATTATTATACTTTCTTGACACAGATAGACCTAGGAAAGACAAATGTACTGAGAGGTGTTTTTGGAGAGTTGAACATGGTACCTATATGGGCACAATCCTGCATTGTTTGTGAATTTGTGTTCACTGAGTGAAAACTAATGAGGAAATCTTTATTGGGGGGACTAACAAAAGCCAGGAACTCATTGGGAGGGGGGTTTCCATAATTTACCAAAATTCCCTATTGTATACTCTGAGAAAGGATGTATAAAGGTGTAGCCAAAGTAGAGTATAAATTAAATGAGAGAAGACAACAATGTAGCTTAAATAGCTGCTCACAGGTGCCACATACATACACACTCTCTGACTGGAAGGTAGCACATTTCACAGTGTGTTGTTTGTGGATGTTTCTCAGTGTTATTTTTAGCATGACTTTTTCTTCTCAAAATGCGGCCATTGTCATGCTGACTTTTCATTCATTCTGACTGAATATAATACTTACTTTACTTTTACTTTTTTATCCTCTATTGCCTTTAAGAGTCAAGGGGAGATGCAGTTTTCTGTGGTAGGCCAGCTCCGCAGTTCTTTCAGTTGGGATATTATGATTTCTCAGGGTTTCCTTGACACCCTCAATCCACCTTTTGCGTGGCCTTCCTCTTCCTTTATAGCCTGAGTGCTTGGTGTTATAGGCTCTTGAGGCTGGCTGGCTAGGTGACATACATAACAGGGAGCCAAACCCATTTTATTCTCTCTTTCTTTCTATGAAATGCAGGCAGGACTCAGTGCTAATAGCTGCTCTTACTTCTTCATTTCTCTGCCTATCTCGTCTCATGATGTTTAGGGTTTTTCGGAGACATTTCATATTGCATGCAGTGATTTTGCTTTCATGGGGTTTTATTACGCATTTATTGTACTGCTTTACTTTATTTGTTACAGGTAGCTACGGGGCAGCCATCACAGTTGTGAGCGCAGGGGGTCAGGACAAGGAACTGTGGGCCGTGGAGAGGAAATGCAAGACGCACATCCAGAAACTTCCAGGTGGGTAGCGAAATTCTGCTTTTCATGCAGTGCATCATACTTGAAATATCCGATCTTATGATGAGTTTGTTTTGTTCTGTTGTAGCTTTGTTTTCTAGCAGAGCAAGAGAGGGATTAAAGGCACATGCCATAGTTATATGCCTTTCTTTCTGTGAATAGGTCATCAAGTCCTTGCAACTGAAATAAATCACTGAAGGCCATAGAAGATTCAACCTTATTGCCCAGTTTATAAAGGATCAGTACTTTAGGTATTGTAGCCATCACGCACATTATGCAGAAGGAGTCATAATTACCCAGCTAGTCCAAATTGATCTTTACTCCAAAACTTCGATAGTGCTATTTTTTTAATGCAAACTACCATTTTTTAATCTAAATTTTTACTATGTATTTTTGTATACTGCAACCATTCTTACTTTGCAAAGAGAGACCAAGCCCTGCTGTGATCTGAAGTGAAAACAACCAACTTAAATTTAAAGTTCACAAAAGGCAAATGTGAATTGTTAGACGAAAACGTTGGGGGAAAAGAAGGGCTCTTGGGGATTCTTGCACTTAATTTTGAACCTGTTTCATCTTGACTTTCAGTAGGACTAAGCTTGTTTTATTAGAATTTCATGGTGCTTGCAACTGCATAAGGTTATAAGAGCACACAGGACTCAAGTTGGGTATTGCTAGAATGAGAAAAACTTTCCTTAATTTTAACATTGTGGAGGGTGTGATGACGAAAATTGGACATCGCCCAAATAAAATATCACAAACGTTGCGATGATTAAGAGTCAGTGAGAGAAGTGTCTTTTTTGCTTTTTGATACCAAAATTAATTTTAATTGTATTGTGATTTTGAATTTGTGCTTTATGAATTCTTGAAGAAACTAATCATTCTTTAAATGTGAATCACTTATAACACCTCTTTTTACATATATAGAAATTATTATTTTGAGAACTGAACTGTGCCTTTGTAAAGTTGGAAGAGTAAACATGAATCGTTTGGTTTCCCTCAGATCCAATTCCCCATGACCTGGCCACTCGGCCTGTGGCAGTCAACCTGGAAGATGTGGTCAGCACTCAGCAGATCATCACCCGCCCAGAGTTAGCACCTGACAGTCTGGCAGGCGCTGTGAATGCTGCTCCTGTGACTGAGAGGAAGGCTGATGGTGCAGGGACTGTTAGGAATGCTACCATGAGTGTTGTTGCTGAAGAGGATGGAGATGGACGAGGGGACAGGGTTGATGCCAACTGCTCCTCTGATTTATTATCTGATGAATCTAAAACAAAAGATGTCGCTGACTGCTCTGAAGCTGTCAATCAGTCTGCTTTGACCAGTAATGCAAAGATACAAAATGTCACAGACAACGCTAAAGCTGTCCACAAAACTGAAGCTAATAATCGTTCTGCGGCGACCAATGCGGAAGAAGAACAAATCTGTGGTCCTACGAGTTGTGATCATGGGGAAACTGTTGACAAAGGATGTGTAGATGCTGAACAAATTTCTGTGGTGTTGGAGGAAGAGATTTCAGCAGAGGTTTTGGAAGGCCGTTCCACATGTGACGATAAAAATACTGGTCAGTCGCAGGTGCCAGGAATGGATTGTGCAAAAGTGACAAGGGATCCTGGCTCAGAGGTTCCGTCAAATGATGAAGCGGTTAAGGAATGCGAGGAAGGAACAACCGCTTTTTCTGTGGATCTCTCGCCTTGTGTACCTGCAGAATCCAATGAGGTGAATAGGGCTTCTATACAAGAAACTGCATTGCTGCTTACAGATGAAGAAAGGGCGGCAGGCAGAGTGTGCGACGATGCTGTTAACCCTTGTGACACGGAGAGTGCAGAGAACTGTGGCAGCGGCTGTGAGGAAGTGGCTAGATTTATTGACACTGTAGCCGCTGGAATTGAGAAAGATGCAGTTCTCTCTGCTGCCTCGTCATTGTGTGTTTCTCATGAAGAAGTTGATGAGGATGCAGCATCTCAAAGTAACCTTGAGGTCAGTGAGCTGCAGAAAAGTGCAACGCTTGATGATGTCAGTGATAGTGGGTGGGTGGGATCAAAAGATTCTCCTGTGACAGACTCGCACAAACATTCAGACCCAAACCATCATGTAGAAGAAACCAGCAAGGTTGAGTCGTACTCTGAAACACTTTCTCAGGATATTCTTACTCAAGTCATGAATGCGACCAAAGGTTTGAAACAGATCAAGTCAAGAGCTTTGTTATTGATCGGCTCCACGGCTGATACAGAGGATAAGAGGGTAACCAAACAGTTTTCATGTGGAGCAGAAAATGAAAATGCTCAGAGTGCCCTTAATCTGTCCACTGATACACGTGAGCCATCTGTGAAAATAGTATTGAGCAAAAAGCCCCAAGTTGACGAACAAAGCAGTAAAGTCATCTTCAAGGCCACATCTGATGAGGCTGAGGTCAGCGTTTCTGCTGATGACAAATCTGGCATTTCTGTTGGAGAGGATTTACGTCCTGAACAAAGTCCCAAGGCTTGCCTCTCAGATCAGAAGCAGACTACCACGGAAGGCAAGGTGGATTTGCCAAAATCCTCACCAAAAGAGAGTAATAAATGGGAGCCGCACAAAAAAATGCCTCGGTCGTTTGCTGTGGCAGATTTTCTAAGACAGATCAATGAAGAGTATCGACAGATGCACTCTATGAAGGCTGATGAGAAGTCTTTGAGTGAACAAATTCAAGGACAAGAGAATCAAGATGTGAAACATGCTGGGGATGGAAATGAAATGAAAGTCAGAAAAGGGGAGAATTGTTCTCTTGTGGAGGGGAATAAAACACATTTAGAAGTTGAGAGAAGTTCGGAGACAAAAAATAGAATAAGTAATGTGTCAGTAGACGAAAGAAACAAAATGATTCCAAATGTGCAAGACCTTTCAAACAAAGAGGGAAATGTTGACCGTGAATTTGATAGAGATCCTCAAACTCCGCAGGGTTCTTCAGTGTGTGAGAATAATCCTCCGCAGAGTTCAGAGGTTGGGGTTCTTGTGGTCAGTGAAGAACAAGTTAGCAATGCTGGAAATGACCAGGCTGTGTTGCTCTCTAAAAAGGTAGATTCCTGTCTTACAGATGGCAATGTTTCTTTAATAACTGTTTGTAGCTCGCAGGAGAAAGGTGAATTGCAAGACAGTGGATCGTCCTCGCTTGAGACTTTTCAACTTTGTGAGGAGAACCGGGGACAGTCTTTATGTTTGCCACAAGATGCTGGCACTCAGGAGACTGATTCGAGCTGTGCAAATATTTCTGTCAAGAGCGTAACTTGCGATGAATTTACAGAAGCTGACAGAGGGAAATTAAGGTCGGCATTTAACTCTCTTTTACTTTATGGAGCAGGTAAAAAACAGTTGACTTTTGATGATTTTCAAAAAGAGAGAGGTGAATGTGATGAAACAGACAGTAATAATTTTGCGGAACAAGATCCTTTCTTGCATTTAATGAGAGGCACAGATAAAGTTTTAAGAGAAAATCAAATTGATGAGAGACTAGAGAGGATGATTCAACAAGATTATATGAAAGTACTGGAGAAACAAAATCAATTTTATGAGAAATTAAAGACTGTTGAATTGCCAGTAAAAGATTCCGAATCTGCTGATAATTCAGATGGTCGTAAATCAACTAATAAAGCAGGGTCAGCTGACAAGGGGCTGAAATCTGATGTTCATGATTCTTTGGGGACGAAAGGATTTTGGTCCTCTTCAAGAGGAAAGAAAAGTGGGAAGGGAGGAAAAGGCAGACCTTCAGATTCCCTCAACTGGAGGAAACCTAAGGAGGAAGAAGGTTCTGAAGATGGGGGCTTGAACTGGCGAGATGGGGAGGACAACCAAAGGAGGAGGCCAGGATGGACCAAACCTGGTGTGTCTAGTTCGTCAAATAAATCTCAGGTGCCACAGGACAACTCATCTTTGGAAGGGGAGACTCTGGGGATTGACAAAGGAAAAGAGAAAGATGATGATAATGTAAATGATTTAAAGGATAAAATTGGGGATATGGACAAGAACAAACTTTGTGAGGTGGATAAAGACTTTGGAATGAGCACAGTTCAAAGTAAGGAACACAAGGACACTGCCGACTTCCAAAATGAGAAAAGACGAGGAATGGATGAAGAGTGTGCGTTACTGGATCAGATGCATGAGAGTATGTTGAGAAAACGGAAAGAAAGAAAAAGACTGGCTGGATCACAGGTGGAAACTGCTGCGAAAGATCATAGTAGTTTAAGAGTAGTTAGTGGTCAGGAGGAAACGGATTTACCCTCTTCGATGGCAGACACAGTTTCACGTGAGAGAGGTTCGCTCGGTGAAAGCCGCAGTGGGTTGATGTCTTCAGAGTCGGATGCACAGCGTCCTGATAACGACAGTCAGGATTCTAGTGTGAAGGAGACAAACAAGACTCTTCAGACTGGTGAGAGCAGCTTTAAAGCAAGTTTTGAAGGGGGTGGTAGAGTACGTGGTAGCTCAGATACGCGTGTGGGTGGTACTGAAAAAATGGAAAATTGTAGCTCTGCAAAGATAACCCTGAGTGAGAAAGCAATGTTAAACTACACGGAGTTAGGAGCAGAGAAGAGTTTCAAGGCAACTTCTCAAGCCAAGGAAAAAGAAAGATGTGAGGATGATAGTGTAGAAAGTTCCCTTAAAGCTTCAAGATCGTCAATTTTCTACACACCAGACATTCCCACAAAGCCATCCAAGTCGGAGGCTCGACTGGCCGGGATTGAAGTGTCCGATGGTTCCACCTCCTCTACGTCAGGCGTAACACTCAGTTCAACGTCAGACATTTCTGATTTGAATTCATCTGACAATGAAATAATCAGTGACAAGTCTGCGCCTCAGTGTTATGCTAATAAATATGCTGAGGATCTTCAAAGAGTTAGAAATGTTGGCTACAGTAGGGATGGTGTGAAGGGAAGAAATGTACTCTCAACACAACGGTCAAAGACTGCTCATTCTGATAACAGAAAACTGCCACATGTAGACAATGCTGTGTGTCACAAGTCTCATGGTAACGTAGCTCAGTTTTCAAAACCTATGGCACCCACCAAGAGTAAATCTGAAAGGTCGAAAAGAAAAGATAACTCCACTGAGAACAATTCATCAATAAACTACTCGCGACAGCGTCAAGTGCTTGATCTGTGGGGTGACAATTCTCGGTATAGGGGCACAGAAGTAAAAACCAGTGGTCCGCGGCATGAGAGAAGTAGCGTAGCAGAGAGAAGAAAGAAGAGTCATTTGAAAGATTACTCTAAAGAAATATCTTCAGTCTCCTCTTGGTCTAGTGAAGAAAATTCTTCAAGTTGTAGTAGCGATGTAGAAAATGTAACCCCTGACCATTTTGAGCAGTATTACGGCAGCATGCATTCCTCCTGGCAAGTATGGCCACAACAACCTAGCTACGCAGCCCCTTTGCCCATGCAAGGACCAAGTGATTATGTGCCAAATTCAAATTATCCACAGATGCAGCAATATCCATTGTATCCCTCTGTCTATCCATTTCCATATCCTCAAACCTTTCCCCAAGCGTTGCCTTACGCCCCTGTCTTGCCAGCTCACCCCGCCCCTCCCTCCTCAAGTCTTCCATGGTACGGATGTGTTCCCGGACCTTACCAAAGCCAGCCTTACTCAAAAGGGTATTACCAGCCTCCTGCTTTTGCCCCACCTGTCCGTCACCCCCATACAGCTTATCCATTGGGGCCGTCATATTTTATTACCTCACAGGTCCAGATCCAGTACGTGAGACATATGACCAGAGCTTTGAGATATCTGAGAAAGAAGCATGGGTTGACCAGAGAGGAAGAATGATGATAATATAATGTAAAGGCATAGAGCTTGCTGTCAAGCGGCAATATGTGCTATACAAATACTATTTATTATTATTATTATTAAATGAATGGGTAATTGGCTCTTCAGCTGTGTTTAATGTTATGAAATGCACTTTTTCCCTGGACAATACTGCCGTAAGCTGTCAAAATGCCTTTTTTTTTCATTTTGGCACCAAATTATTTTTGGGTGCTAAATCAAAAACCTGATCAGTTACCCTACTTGTGTGGAAAAAAGGTGAAGTGAAACTGTGATTAGTTGTTTTTAATAAATTAGAATTCAAATTTCGGAAGAAGGCCTTTTGTAAATGCTAACAAAAAGCCTCTCTATCTCGAAACTTCTGTGAATCGAAAAAAAGGTGTTTTGTCAGCTTATGGCATAATAATGAGTGGGTGCATTGTTTACTCTGTTGGTGGCTTTCTGGACTGCTTTTTTGGAGAAACCTGGAAGAATTCCGTACCTATTTGTATGATTAGTATGATGAGTTTGTTTGTTTGGGGGAGGGGGGGTTTTGTTTTTTCCCATCTAGGCTTGCTCCTGCCAGAGATGGACATTCTGGAGAGTCATTATTAGTATTAGCCCTACTGTGTTGAAAGGGGAGTTAATATTTCAGGAATGGATTAGTTGAGAGCCTTAAAGAGATGCATTTGTAATATAGTAGGGAGTCCTGCAAAATGGCGCAAATTTTAGTGTTTTATGAACTCTAATGCTCATGTCATGGTGCTACTCGAACTTGCAAAATGATCGGTTTTGTCTCATTTTTCTTCTTTTCAGCTTATGTTAAGTCTTAATCTATTTCAAAATTAGACAATTTGGAGCACTATTGCTTGGTTTTGGGGTTGCTTCTTTGCCTCCACTGTATGTTTATCTCTTTTTAAAAGTCTAGAGATCATTCTGAAGTAAACTCTGGTAGATTGTGTGTTATTGGAGAGCCTGCCACGGATAAAGTGCAGACTCAGAATTGTTTGTTGGTGTCATTTGTTCAAGTTCAAGCATCTGTAGAAGCTTATAGAGCAAGTAGCTCTCCTTACCTTTTGTTTTGTGGTTCATTTGACATTGGTATGATATAGCATTGTTCTGGCAAAGCCTTGAAATGTATAATGGAATGTGATCTCTGTGTACTCTTGTTCTATTTTGCTGTTGTGAGGCAAAAGTGGGGAATGGAATGTGGGCTTGTAAAATGTGAACGAAATTGTGAAGATCCCAACTACCTCACAAGGTCTCTTCAAGTATTTGATAGACTTTCATGTACAAACAGTTGAGTGATCAGTTATCATAAATCTCTGTGTTGGCCTTAGCCAACATGTCTATTAGTATGTTTGTCTTTACATGGCTGTGTGAAAGCATATACTACAGTATTACACAGATAGCTCGAATTCGTCGGGACAGGCCTCGGTAGTTCGAGGGATCCGTAGTTCGATCAGTATTTTACAAAGATAAAGAAGAAGAAGAAAAAAACGGGACCACAGGCACAGTTCGACGGTTGTGTGATTTCGAGTCTTTTGTTTTCACCCATCCATGTTATACTGTATTTAAGTATCTGTCTGTGTGTCTATAGAAGTTGACACTGTTCCTCTTCATCAGATGATAACCTGTGCCTGTGTTGGTCTTGGTTTATTTTTTTTTTAAGTGAGAGTTTTGCAGCACTTGCGACACAATAAGGTCATATAAGTGCCATAGATGAGAGGTGTTAAAAGATAGTAACAAACATTTAAAAAGTGGGTGGTTGGGGGGTGCTCTGGTGTGGTTTGCTTCTTCTTTCCTATCAAACGTCTATCGTCTTTATCTCCCCTCCTTCTTTTTTGTGTTTGTTACTCTCTTGTAACACCTCTAATCTTCGGCACTTATATGACCTTATTGTGTTGCAAGTGCTGTAAAACTGTTACTAAATCTAAACTAAAAACATAAAAAAAGAAAGAGAAGAGATAAGGATGATAGATATTTGACAGGGAACAAGGAGCAAACCACACCAGAGCACCCACCAACTACCCACGGACCCTGGTTTGTTCTGCGATGATGCCACATGAGTATTGTATCTCTATTGAAATAAATGCATGCCAGAAAATGCCTGTTACTGCTGCTGTGTCTCGCCAGGTGTTGCATATGCATATTCCGTCTAACCTCGTTGTACCGCACTCTGGGTTATTTAACAGAGGAATCTCATTGATAAGCCAATTCCGCTATTTCGCCAACTTCAGCTTGTCCCTAGGGTAGCAGTATAATGTGGTTTTACTGTATATGTATACCTTGACTGCTAAATCCTTCTTTTTCATCTTATGAGTGGTCTTGACATCCGTTGGATGCAATGTTCTGCTATTTATTCCCATGTTCTGAAATTGATCTCTTTTGAGCAGGTCTTACCCTTCTTGCAGACATCTTTGTTTCTTACTGGCCTGGACAATGTGATTTTGCAGATAGAAAATAAAGTGTGTTAGGTTCATCCAGTGCACTGTGTGGCTTTGTATTGTTTCTTGTCTGATCTGACCTTAATTAAATTTGAGTTTTCTACATTTTTCTGATTTTGGTTGATTTATTCGTGCCTTGTTTGTATCAGTACTATGTGATTGTTAAATAATAATAGCGATTACTTTTTATTTTTTGATTGAAACAGACTCGACTTTGTGTTATGTTTACAAAATATTTTCTAACCAGCGTCTGTGGCTTGTTATTTCGTTTATGTTGTCAGAACAAAGCAATGTTGGACACTTTTTTTTTCATTACTGTGAATTCATCTGGATTTCATATCTCATATAGAGAGATTTATCACGGATGACATTTTGAAACAAACCAAAAGAATGTTTGACAAATATTTGAATTACAATAGATTGCAAATGATGGAACACAAATACGAAGCAAATGTACTTTAGTTAGGACCGTAATGCTCAGGCAGTTGGTGAATAGCGGTTTACAGGAGGAAATCGTATGTTTTTATAGGCGTTTCTTTTTCTGGGTTTGACCGACTGTATTTGCTTCTCATACCTTGGTGCTGTCCCTGGTTCCTGCTGACATTGCCAGAGGATGACTCCAGAATTCTTACTTTTGCTTTTCACAGGCATGTTCCCAAGATGAGGTGGATCGAGTACAATTTACATAGCCCAATGAGTGCATGGGTCCTCCACATTCTTTTGTCCTGACCCAAAGGGGCTATGTAAATTGTACTCAATTTATTAGTTAATATGACAGAATTTTCCTAAACTGCTCCTCACAGACCCAAGTCTAATACAGAAGAGCAATCACAACTTGTCAAATGCAATTTTGAAGACCACTTGTGTTCTATGTAAATGCAGTTTTTATTTTGCTTTCATGAATACTTGTTGAGGAATTAAAATGTTCCACTTTGTTGCCCTTGAAAAGTGTGTTACTTGAAATTTCTTTTTTCTTTATTGCTTTCCCTGGGGTCACATTACAAATTACACCGAGATAAACATGATCACCAGAAGGAGACTGTGAAACATGCGTTTGACATCATCATTTTATGTTGGGCGAGAAGTTACACTGCTGTGTAACCAGTCGTCTGAACGAGGGGGACACATGTTTCCATACTTTTGACAGTTGCCAAATTACTATTTGATAACTTTACAGATGTATATTACGGCCTTGTTCACTTGATATCTACTGGACTATGAGTATGGTTCGGATAACCGTGGTTTGAACTTAGCACTTTTGGACTTGATTAGTTAAATAATAATAAAGAAATGAAAGAGTCATTATAAACCCATGTGTTGTACGAATACAACTTAACTGGATATCTTTTTCTTGAATTAGTAGCTTTAGAATGATGGGAGGAGTTTTCTCTGGGTTTATAAAGTGATTTCATGTTTCCTGTTTTTTTTTATAGCTCTTTGTCTCCAGAGGGTAGATTTTCCCACTGTTGGTACAATACGTCACTAAAAGAGTAATTAAATTTTGTTTAAATGAACCTGTTTTTATAGTTCCTTCATCTAATGAAAGAACTCCCGGTAAAAAAAAGAAATTTGACTGAGCAGCTGACAGTGAATCAATGGCATGGCGGTTCCGACAGCAAGCCTCTGGGAACAACTTACCAAAAATAAGGAGTTAATGTAGGTGTTTTTACTCCCCGACTGACACAATTAAGATCATTTATGAGGCGGGCTTTTACCCGGCCTGTCGGGGTCAACCAGGACTGAGAGCGATACATACAATGTCCCAACAGAAAGACCCAAGACAACTCAATAAATATGCTGCCCTCATTGGAATCGAATTCAGGTCTTCTTCATGCAACGGCAAAGCACCCAACTCCTACATTTACAGACACCTGTCACGATTCATAATTTCTATTGATATTGTGTTCAATTCTTCGTCTGAATCATGTACTAGTGTACGCAACATTTTGCTAATTATTCAGGAGAGCAATTTGACATTTTTTAGTTTAGTTTTAGTAAGGTTTTACGGCACTCGCAACTGCATAAGGTCATATGAGCACCAAGGGGTGGCTGTCAACAGAGAAGTCCAAATGGGGAATCAGGCTTACTCTGCTCACCTCTCAAGCCTCAATACATTCAATGTACTGCCACACACAACTGAAGTGCGCAGCGAAACGTACGAGCTGCTAGTTCGGAAGTGGTGATCCCATAGGTCAGTGCGACTCCATCCAAGTGTGTAAAAAAAAATTGCGCTGAGCAGGCGTATACAGCTCAGTGGCCGCCCGCCCGCCCCTTTTGTTTTATCCCCACGGCGTCGCTCAGCACTCCGATAGCAGGGCGAGCCTGTCCACACGCGAAAAAGAAGTGCTGCACTCACGCACGTCTTTTTGGGGTCCTCACGACTCCTCACGTTTGGTAGTGTCAGTGAAATCAGCAATATGAAATAAAGAGGAAGGCACGACTTTTTTTGCAGCACACTTCAGTTGTGCGTGGCAGCATATTTTCAGCCTTATGTCTGCTTCCACTATCGAGGCACCCCGGAAATAGCAGTTCACTATAAAGTGACAAACATATAAAAGTAGTAGAGGAAAATGACGATAGAAAGGATGAGGAAAGAAAAAGCAGCAGTTCCCCCTATGTTGTTCCGGCACGGTATGAGCATGGCATTGATATATCAGCCCATATACAATTCTACTGTGCATAAGAACATGTTAATATCCTCCCTTTAGGAAAGGCCTAAAGACACTTAAGTCAGTAGCACTGCCCTGGGGGGCTTTAGTTTTTTAGCTTTAGTAAGAGTTTTACGGCACTTTCAACACAATAAGGTCACATAAGTGCCAAAGATTAGAGAGGTTACAAGAGAGTAACATACACAAAAAAAGGAAGAGAGATCAGGACGACAGATGTTTGATAGGAAAGAAGGAGCAAACCACACCAGAGCACCCGCCAACCACCCACATCCTGGGGGGGGGGGGGGGGCTTTCGAAATTTCTGGTGATACAGCAAAATGGTAGATACGCTAGTTTGAAAATCACAGATAACTCTGTAACGGCTAATGGCATTGATACTAGAATTCTAGAGGTGATGGAGTGTAGGCTAAGGAGCTGGTTTGTGGTTCTAACTCGATTTTGCCCAAAATGTCGCTTACACTCTAATACTAATACGTGTTATGGACGAGAAATTAAGTACAGACATGTATAGATTCAAACGTGGACAAAACAAATGAAAACCAAAAATCTCATGTTTATTTCAGTCAAACACATCCCTCTGCAAGAGATCTTGCCAACTCCAACATGTTATACACGTACAAAGGAAAAGGAAAGGAAAAAACCCATACACACAGCTATTTACAATGAGTCAGCATACGACAAAGGACACCTGGCATACAAGACGTAATCATAAACTGCAAAAGTAATCAAATAGTAGCTCCGACAACAACAAAAATTGCACCTGTGTAAAATGCAGCCTTGGGTTTTCTGCTTTCGTTTTGTGTGTGCTTCATCAGAATTCTTGTTGATATAGCTACGAGGGGTGTTTAATTATCAATAAGTCTTTACCTAGACTATAAAAGAATATTGTAAAACAAAACCTGCAGAATGCTGTTTCTAGCTTCTTGGAACACTGTATGTAGAGTTTTGAATAATTCTGATGAGCTGTTTGAATCTGAGAGCTCTTTTAGTGAAGGGAGTTGTTGGAATGTGAGGGAGGCTGTGAAAAAAATAATCTTTCCTGCTGTACGACAATGGTTCAGTGCACAGAGCGGTGAAGTGGCATTGTGGATGTCAAATTTCAACTTTCTAGTTTGCTTCTTTCATAGTCAGAGTAATGACTTATTAACACCCCTCATATAAGTCATGGTAACATTGGGAACAATTTGTTGTATACATGTACTACTTTTACTATGGTATAACTGAACCTTTTTTAGAGTGGGAGCCATGTTCAAAAGGTTCTCTTATCAAATGTTTCACTCTAAATATTTCTTTCATGTCCCTGTCTGCACAATTTAGGTCATGTAGGAGACTTGCTACCTCAACCCCGGCTGTGCTGGGTACGAATTCCAGGC